CTAGTAGCTCCTGGCCTTACTACTAGGAACAAGAAGCTACTGGTGACAAGAAGCTACTAGTAGCTCCTGGCCTTACTACTAGGAACAAGAAGCTACTAGGAGCACCTGGAGTGCCTGGACGTGACTGAAAGAAACACCCTCTGACTCCGTTGCCTTGCGCGGCACGGGACCGCCTCTCGACTTGCTGCGTCAAAGTCATCAACGAACACTCGACAGGTACGAAACAAAATGACGATAAACACCATCCAAAGAATTCTAATGAATGATGTCCAGTGCTTTTAATTCCTGAAGCCCACCGCCACCCAAAGTGTAAATCACAAATATCAAAAGTGTATAATAAGAGTGTCTTATTTTGCCTCATTATACTTCCCTACCATTGGAAGTATAAGAAACCCTTTTAAAGGCAAAAATACTTGTTGTAATCTATCGAGCATAAAGCCGCATCTGGAGTTGTATGGCTCAAACGGGCTAGAGTTGTTTGTTCGGACCTGGCTCGGCCGAAATGATTGAAGAGCAGTGGCTCATGTCAAATGGATGCATGTTGATGCACTCTACCAGTTCCATGTCGCAGTTCTCATCCACTTTATATATGTTATAAACGTCTTGCGAAAATGGGCCGCTGAATCAATTCTGCCACGGTGCATTGGCTGGGTAGTGTACGAGTTGAAATATGTGGATCCAGATGAGTCCTCCAGCCGCTTTGGAAAAGCAGTAGCTGCAATCGCAACTCAAACTTCACACCCTTCAGCCTTCAACACGAGTTTTCCCGACAAAGTCACTAGTCACTAGTCACTGGCGTCAAAAACACCATGCAGCTAAATTCGCCACACGACTTGGGTGCCAACAAACTGCCATTCGAACGGCAGAAGAGTGACGCATGCACTTCGCTGCCAGTTCGGAACGGGCAGTGTGGGCTGTCCAGCTAGTAGTAACAAGTGCATGGCTAGTAGTAACAGGTGCATCGCTACTAGTAACAAGAAGCTAGTAATTTAATTACTAGCTTCTTGTTACTAGTAGCGATGCACCTGTTACTACTAGCGATGCACTTGTTACTACTAGCTTCTAAAGATGGAGTCCGATGGAGACGTTCAGAACGTTTTCCGGAACAAAACGATGGGCACTTAGACTTAGAGATCGTGGGCCAAATGAAGTGCCAGGTGGGCTAACAAACCTCCAACTCGAAACACTGGTTTCAACCTACATAGACCACCAAATAGAGAGAAAAGTATAATCCTGTTTAAAACGTATCGGAAACCGTTTATTTACTTTATTTCTATCCATTGGGGGACCGCTATAGAGGAAGTTCAAAAAAAATCACGTACAGTATATAGACTATATAGAGCCTAACTTTGGCGTCCTGGCTAGACGGCTGATGCAAAATCCGTCCGGTTGAGTAGTACCCAAAATCTGAGCCATACTGCGCATCAGTGTAGAACTCCTCCAGGGAAGCAATGCAATTCGGAAGTGCAAGGAAGCCTCCCTGAAACAGGGTTCGTTCCATACTGCACCTGTATGGAAACAGTAGCCAAACTAAGTTCGGTCGTTCGGCCCACCCTCTCCTGGAATGTGTAAAAGTCATCCTGGGTCGCAGCTGAGTTCCAGGACACCACACAATTGAGCCGGACCAAGACAATGACCTGGCTGCGACAAATGCAAGCTGAGAATGCTTGCACTTTTGAGGGGACCTTTCTCCAAAAAAGCCGGGCAAAACAATGAACACTCATCATCTTTGACTTGAACTCCACTGGCACACTGTGCCAGTACATTGACCCATCGTGTGTTACTGCCTGTATTGTCAGCACAAATTCCAGCATAGCTGTAGCCATTTCATTCTGATGCAGCGCAGTGTTGGACACAGCACTGTAGTGTGAGAGGCTTGTTAAGAAATGCGCTTTGGGAGTACTACACTTATATAGATCCCATGGGAGGACCTTTATGGCGTACATAGTGACCCCAGCCTGTGAGGAAAGCACACAATTTGGATCTGTTTGGCAATGAGCCAAACCAGGAAGACTCAAGTATACAACTTCAGGAAGCTGCATTTATGGGCCGTGGTTCTGATGAGGGTCAAAAGGGGAACCAAGCAAGATGCATTCTCTTTGCTGATCCCCATTGTGACGGTTGCATCGTGTGCAACAGTTACAAACAGGCTTTGCTGCGATGTGTTGTTGAGGTGTCCGCACTACTAAATGCCATCTTGAGCCAACAAGCCGCAGTAATAACTTGGTAACATGTGCCACAGAAGCTGGCGGATGAACACAAATCTCAAAAACAAAAAATGCCCTCAACCCGTTCCACCATTCACCTACAAGCGATCCATAAGTTTAGCACATGGAAGAGACTCGACGAAGACAAAAATCAATTTGTTGATAGCTTTTTCTTTCTTTCTAGCTATTTCCGAATGAGAGAGAAAGAAAGAAAGAAAAAAGGAAAGAAGACACGCCTAAGTTCTAAAAGAAATGAATACAAAAAGGATACAAAGTAAAATATAGAAAAATAGCGATCTCTTCCGCTCATCAACCGGGTTCAGGATCTTCATATCTCTCGGGTTGAGGTCCGAGTCCTCCATGCTCCATGATCGCAGTTGTTGCAGTTCGGCGGGTCAACCACCACTGCCCAGGGTTCAAATTCGTTCAAGTGGTAGAGGTACGCTGATCTAAGCAAGAAGGCGGGTCTTGTGCACAGTCTGTGGAACCACTTTTGGCAGCTTGAAGAGATCATCACAAAACACCGAACGGTGAGACGAAACCAACAGGCTACCAAGTTGTAGGGCCTGTAGGGTTTTCTTTGCGTGCTTGAGCTTCCACACTCCACCAAACTCTTTCAGCAATTTCATTCATTATTATATAAAGGATCATGATCACAAGTGGCTTCGCATGTTGTTGGTTCAACTTTGATGACATATAGCAAGTACTTCAAGCTAAGCTGCACTATCCATTCGCTTGGTTTCCTCACCATGTGCACAAGCCTGGCCTCGGTGAGCAACCAAATTGATCTCGTCGGAATGCAGCAAGAATCAAAAATCAGGATTGCCCATGCAAGAAATTTGTTGGAGTGGCACTGCCTTTCTCTCTTCATTCATTGACCTAAACTCTCACACACACCCACACACACATCAAGAACATAATTACTGTAGATATTGTTAATTATATAATATATATATCAGTAATTATTACACACCAAGTGGCCCCCTCTGCCAAATAGTTTGATATTTCACGTTCTGCCATCTCCGAAGGTGCCACCCAATACGTCATCCAGCGCCAAGAGCCCTCGTGGATCACACGCGGATCGTGGGAAAAAGAGCAGTGAGCAGCGGGTCGAGATGCATCTTTAGGAAAACTGAGGAAGCAAAAAACAAATACAACATATAAAATAAGGATAAGGAATAAATAGGATAAGAAAAACAATAAAATAAGGGCTCCTTTATACTGTATCATGAGGCCCTCTTTTGATGTTATATATACTCCCGTGCATTTTTCACATGGCACCTCACAGCACTTGACCCACGTGGGGCACCGTCTCTGTCTACAAAAAATCTGAGCCCCGACGGATGAAGCCCGGACCTTGCTCACAAAGACACTGCGTTGCCAAGATGGACTTGAAGGTGTCCAAAGTACGCGTGTCCATTTTGGCTCACCTCGCGACGCGGTTATTTTTCTCACATGCGGCGAAGGAGGGCCACAGGGAAAAGTGGGTGAAAAAGAAAGTCTTTTAGTAGACACTGCATCAGCATTGTGGACAAGGTTTCTCTTGTTTTACCTACCCATGTGGATGCCAGCTGGTTGGAGATTCTGGTGCCTTAACTCGCCAACCTGCCTATCCCTCAGAAGCAGCGTCTGGAAACAAATGAATCCACAAAGCAACCAAAAATCAGCACCCAAAATCAGCCAAACAAATCAGCGGCAACCCTACACTGCCCTACACCCGAATTGCTCCACGGCATGGTTCCAATCAAGGAACAGAACATAAAAGAACCCTCTGCATTTTGTCAGTGCCCAATGATTCCTATATGCTCATCACTCGCCCCGCAGCGAGGTTTTCGTCAAACCGATCAGCAGCTCTCACGCCGAGAGGCTGGGCTGGGCACCGACCAGAAGCCGCAAAAGGTCCGGCGATGTATGCAAATTGTATGATAGAGTGGCGCCAGACTTATGATAAACCACAATGATAGACCCTTGGCGCCAGGAATTGGAGAGCTACAGCAAGATTATTGATCAACTATGCACAGTCGGAGGGAGGTCAATTGAGAGCTTCATTGGTGAAAAGGGACCAAGTGCACTAAAGCAAAGCGGCAAAATGAAAGCCAGAGCTTCGCCCACTGTTTTTCGCGAAGGCTTATCCTAGAATTGTTACAAGGTGCCAGAAGAGTTGGTAGATTTCGCCACAGGACCCAATGGACTCCGTGATATGGATCTCCAAATGTCCATGGTGAAATTGTCGGGCTCCTTCAGCGTTTAGACGCCCAAAAACAAATGCATGAGAATCTGGATGCATGAGTGACCCGAAAGCAAAGGAAAAGGTTAATGCTGGCTGAAACTATCGAAACTTCATAACTCATAAACATCCACAAAAAATAGCTCATACTGGTGACTTACTGTACATTGTACATTTACTGCAGCACAAAGTGCAACGCACTCCATGGTACAAATCAATGGCTGATGGTCTTTCCTGGAAGGCGTGCATTCGCTCAATTCTTCTTGCTTCACTGTTGCATGTCAACAACTACAGTGACTGCACATGCGGATGGTATGGTCAGAAGGTGGATGGGGCCATACGGCCCATCGTGTCCTATCAAAGCCATTCGTTCTCAACCTCTGGAGAAAACGAACATCTTCCAGTGGTTTCAGAGTAGATGGCAAAAGGGCCCCCAAGTTCGGTGGCTATATATGCACCCCCATCTTCCAAATAAAAACGCACTTTAGGTTCGTGCCCTCTTCTTGAATCCGGACTTCCGACCGTCCGTGCCTCACCGTCTCGTGACCACGACTCGTCACGAGGTCCGGTGACGAAGCGCCCGACTGGGCCGTTCGACGTTCGGTGAGCGGAGTTCGTCCAGAGCGGAACAGCAGCTGCGTGCATCCCAACCCTGCAGAAGGAAGCAGCTGCTGCTGCCAAAGCCATCATAGCGCAAAGGGTCGCAGCAAGTCTGCCAGAACAGGCAAAGAAAATAATGAATCCAATTTGTTTGGCCTACACTGCTGGAAAAAATAAATGATTTCTACAAAAGCAAGAACCCAAATCGGCCCTCCAGGCCTTCCATATATTGCCAGGTCTGATGTTGCTTACCTACAATGGCAAGAAGGGTTGCAAGTGTGGGTTGAGGGCCATTCCATTTTGCAAGAGCAAAAGTATGAGATTTGAATTTGCACAATCTTTTCTTGAAACCTCGCTTTCTAATGGAAACCTGGCATATGGATGCAAAAAAACAGGATCCAGTACACATGAATAATGAAATATCATTGAATCATCTAATCTAACATAAACGATTGCAACCTTCCAGACATGAGAAACGTCGCCGGGCGACTCTACATGCTTCGTGAACCTCCTGGAGGTCAAGACCGCCAGCATCTGCGCTGTCCTCCTCAAGCAGGAACAACCCGGATACTTCGTGTCCATGGTCAATGGTGCTGATCCAACTCTTTGCACAACTTTTCACCTATGATTATGCAGTTCGATGCCTTGGCCTGAAGCTACGAATGCACCGCAGGTGAGCTCTTGCAGGCTACGGGGACCAAGTCTTGCAAAAGAACAGCTCGAATGGCATCAGTACTGCAGCCACCCAACCATCAATTCCAAAAGAAGTGCTCTTTGCTGAGCTTGTGAAACTTCATCCCGAAAAGAAACGGCACGCATTCCTTGCAGCACAACAACACCGCTCCCCCGGCAGATAGCTTCAGCAAAAGGCTTCCAACTGCCCAGCATTTCCATGTCTACCCAGACTCCCTTGACGTCAAGCTACAACCAGACTGGCCTGGCAAAAATCAGTTGAGCTCTTCACATCTCTTCACTTTCACCAGCGCTACAACCATCGTTTCGGCAAGCTTCGGAGCAAACTGCTAACGCAACAGCACCTTGGAGGCATCCACGCGAAGTGAATCGGACAACTCTCTTGAGAAGATGAGTGCATGGCAGTCTCCAAAAGAAACCTCATCGTTGAAAGCCAAGAGGCCCGTGATGGCTGATGTCAGCTGCACCATGAAAAGAAAGCATGGCTCGTGGATAGCTGCTCAAAGCAAATCTCTAGCGAGGTATAGCACTGCGGCATTCCAATGGGACTTTAGCTCAACTGCTGATCATTTTATTTTGTCTTGGTGTTGTGCCTGCTGCTCAGGAACACGCGATTTGTGGTGAGATCTGTTACAGCAAATCGGTTGGGACACAGCCGAAAGAGCTGAGGACTAAATATGCGACACTGGCCACCCTACCACAAATGGATGTAGAAAGAGCTCCACTAAACAAGCAACCAAGTTCTTGAAATTGGCCAGAGACCTGCCCCTATCTGCCGTGATTCAGCTATGCCCCTGGGGCCATGCACGTCCAGATTTGTGGACAACGTGACCAGCTGGTCGTCAGATTGGACGGGTATGGAGTACCCTGAGCTGCACTTGTCAGACAAGTGGTCTTTCATCGAGTCTGGACGATGGATGCCCATACTTGCTCTGCTTGTTCTAGTCTAGGTCTAGGTTGATGAATGCAGCACACGCGAGACGATGATCAAAAGGCGCGGTCAGGAAGGGGCAACTTCCATAATCCTAAATTGCTCTAAATGAGCACTTATTTTCTAAATGAGCACTTAATCTTGATCTGTCCTCCACGATCACCTCCCTTCACCCCGTTCTCTGGGTGCCCCAGCCCAGTGCTGTGGCCAGAATCGCAGGGAGCTGAACTGCCTCACACGGGGACGCAGAAAGGCTCAAGTGAAGCTCGCAACTCAGCGAACCACTTGAAAAAGAAACCCAACAAACTCTAGAAAGGTCGGGCTCTTTTTGGTCGGCATGATGCAACTTCACTCCTTTTTGGCATGAAGTTTTTGCAGTGCATAAAATCGTGCGGATTGCAGGTTCTGCTTCGCTCTTAAAATGATACAACTTGTGCTGGCCCTGTGTCAATCTTATTTGCAAAGTCACGAATCCCCGGCTAGGCTCTTCACAGGGAGTTGCAGCGGGGCAACGACCTTACTTGTTGTCGGGTAGCATTGCGGGAATCATTCATCTGGCCTTCGTTTTACAACACCGATGGAGAAACTGAGGAGATCTGCTATGTTGAGATCCAGGTTCAAAAAATGTTCAAAGTGATTTTTTCCACCGCCGCAATGTTTGGCCAGGCACTTTGACATGACTGCATGAACATGGACACGGAATCTGTGATCCTGCACAGGTCTACAAACAGCAACAGAACGTGATGTGATGATAGCGCCCACCCAAGCATACACCCCCAACCACTGCCTTAACTAACGAACATCACATCATGTGATGAAGAAGGTCAGCCTGTCAGCCCGGGGCAAGAGATTCAGTGCTTGGATGAGAGATTCAATCATCGCAACTCATCTTGAATTCTCGAGGCCCCAGCTTCGTTTCTCACCTGCAGATGTCACGCCAGGAAGTGAATCAAATGTGTTATTATGTTTTATTGAAACTATTATTCTAGAATCTCTAGAACAATGCAACACTTGGTTTTGCCACCTTGCAGAAACAAACTCTGGATGGGTCCCCACATGTCCGTACCTAGGTGTGGATACATCTGAATAACAAGTGTGGACGTACTAACTCCTGGATTGGCCAAAGATTGGCTCGGACGCGCGGTGGCCTCCACAACGCCCATCATGAGCAAGGTGCCGCTCATGGCGAGCATTGCTGCAGGCGACGCAGCTGCCTCAAGACTTTCAACCGAAGTGTCGCTTCAAAATGCGCTGAGTTTGGATCCGGGCGTGTTACAGCGCTGTGGGCCCATCCTTTGAATGCCACATAGTGAGTACAATTGTAATTGCTGCTTAGTTCAGCAAGTGGGGAAGTCCAGCGTCAAATGGCTTTCCCACCCTGCAGATTGACGCGTATTGGCTTTCAGAACGAAGAAAATAATCGGGTTTGTTTCTTCCACTCACTAGGCAGGGAACCATGGGGAATATGTAAGGAGGTGATGTTCTAACGATGCAACACGGACATGGAGAAATACGAAGCCCATGCAGTTTGTTGACTTGGGCCATACGAAGCCCTGGCACTCTTGTTGGCAACTCCACGGTTCTGTGCCGTTCATTGTGTTACTTGAGAACGCTGACAGCTGTTCCGTGCACGCTGCGCGGCTCTGTTTCTGTGCAAATGGTGGTTGGACCTCGACTGCTGCACAGTGGCGTGCGAGTAACGTGGAAAAATGGGAACCAAGGGCCGAACCCGCACAGGCGCGTCCATGTTGGCAACGTTCATGTATAACTGTATGTACATATGTTCATCAAATGATGAAAACCTGAGAAAGGATGAGAAAGGAGAGGACGAAAGCCAACGAGAGACTAATATGGCAGCGCGGCAGTGCAAGACTGGGAGGAAAAAATAGCGGAGGCTGTCTCGATTTTCCTGGCGCGGTGCTCTCTGGAGCGTCCCTGTGTGGTGGTCTATTTGCTCAGGGCGTGCGCACTACCCAACAACTCCAGAATGACAACAGCGAGCAAGCCCGAATCCTCTACAACACATGGAACATAGCAAAGAACATCCATTCCGTGATTGTTTCCCTCCTGGCTGGGGAGCGGGCACCCAATTCACACAAGGGGGCGAAGAACATGCCGCCACCCTACTTGCTCAGAACCACGGAGCTGTGTGCCACCACAATGCACGTTGCTGGGTGATCCACCAACACAACGCCATCGTGAAAGGCCTAGCTTGGTCAGCCAACGCCACACCACCTGACCTCTAACCCAACATCCACACTTTCACTCCACTTCCACAGGCCTTGTCTCACCCTTCCTGTCTCACTCTACCGCACATACCAACAGCTCTACGGAAAATCGCTGCGACTTGTGCGCGCTTAATTCGCAGCTCTTGCACGTCCGTCATCGCTTTGATCCACAGCCACGTTACCAGACTTGAAGGCAGCTGGGCCTTTAACTATATAAATCTTTTTGAGGGCTCTTTTCGGGGGATCTTTTACTCGTTGATGTGACTCGCTTTGACAGGAGAGATCCTTGCTTTGTTTTGTTTTCGGGATGGACCTTGTCAAACTTTGACCTTGTGGCTCCACGGAATTCACTGCTCCGTAATTCGTTCTGCATGTAATTTGATTTTCGACTTTCCTCCCAGCTTCATGACTCTCGAGCTGCCGCCGCCGCCGCTGCTGCCGCCGTCGCCGCAGCTGACTTGACCAGAAGCGATGAACAGCAACAACGGAGTTGCAAACCTCATCCAACGTACCACACTGGCTCTCACACAGCTTCACCATCTCTTGCAGCAAGCAACCGGCATCCTGGCCGATCTTTTGATTGATGCAGTGCACTCCCTCATCCAAGAGTGGCAAACTCAGCACTCGACCCATACCCTGTCGACACCAAAGCCACCGGCAACCCTTTCCACCACTCCCACATTGGCAGACACCACACTCGACATCCCACACAACACACTCTCCACACCTGAGACATCACAACCATTGTCACATTTGCCCTCAACACTTGCATTTTCCGGGCTTGCAACAACACTTACAAGCAAATACGAGGCGCTGGGATTGGATCCCAGCTGTCTCCAGCCCTTTGCAACGTTGCCATCACACTTATCGAGCACTCATGGCATCAGCTACACAACAACCTCCTTCACCACTCCGCTCTCCATTTCACGTACTACCGTTACGTCGACAACCGCTTCATCGTCCACAACGAGCACTTCCTCTCACATCTGGCCATCCAAACCCTCATCCACCACAACCTTTTCGGCGATCCTGTCGAACTCGAAACAGTGGATGACTTCCACCTAGTGGGCTTCAACATCGACCTCCGCCAACGAACCATCACCTACATACAACCTACCCCGTCATGGAAAATCCGTGACTCCACCTGTGCCGAGCGACTCAAACTGTCCGGTCTAGCCTCCCGCCTCCACGCCATATACACCTACACATACCCTCCACAAGCAGCAGCTGCAGCGGCTGAGGAGCTAGTCCAACTGTACGTCCTGAAGAGACACGCAGCAAGAGCAATTTTTGAAAAGAAACACAAAACAGCAGCCACTTTTTCCACGCGCGCCGGATTCGGCATCGTGTGTGTGTGTGTCACCCTCTGTAACTAAGAGTTTCGCCACTTGTTCAACCCATTCCATGCAGGGGGCAGTGACAGAGTTCGTGGAATCACTGCCAACGAAGACGTCCACATTCTCTGGATTTCTCTGGTGATGCATCGGGAGACGTCCTGATGTGTACCTGCTTCAACTTTTGACCAAGCTGTGACTCCACTTTCCACGTTTTGGTTCATGGTCCTTTCATGATGCTCCCCCCAAACCCGTTTCCCTCCGCCACCTTCAGCCGCTCGTGAGCTGCCGTTGAGATTCTGCAGATGCGCATAAACCATTTGTTGAAACACCTTCAAATGCCTGGACACGTCACCTTGCGGTTCCATCGCCTTTTTTCCACTTGGGAATAGATTAACTGCAAACCAATGTCAGAGTGTGTGTTTGCGTTTGTGTTTCAATTCAATCATGAGACTGAAGTTTCACTGCGAGCCCGGCAATGTCAAAGTCCACCGCACGATTTCGACGCCTCAGCAACATAGTTCCAGAAGATTGCATCAGCATGAGTGTGGACACGAAACGGCCTTTAGGTAGGATTTGCATAGTGGTATATAAGCTGATCAGTTAGTTGATGATGATTATATATACAACCATATATAAGTTAGACTAGGGGTTGTTCATCGGGAGTATGCCATTCTTGGCCCCTTCATTCAATTTGGGGGATTTCATCAAAGATCAAAAGAATGGCACGCTCCCGATGAACAAGGTCACCTACATTCATTTTTCAACTCCTCAATCTAATTCACACATGTGGACGAACAACGCTATTCTTATTCATTTTTCCCCGGCGCGTGGCTGAACTGCTTTTTCAACACCTCTGCAGCCATCAGAATCGATCATTTCTTTGTGTCCATATGAAAAGGTACTGCTCTGCGGGAACTTTCTCCTCGCCGTTTTTCCAGTCACCTTCGACACCCTGTTCGGTCGTGTAAGCACCGGGAGACATTTCAAGTATCTCGTTTGGAACAACCACCACCCACTTAATACATCTCACTTTCTTCAACGAATCCTTCTCGAAGTGTTTGTTCATCACATCTTGCAGGGCTTTCAGTTTGAATGAGTGTTCCGTAGCCTTGGTGGTCTGCAACAGCCACAAGGTCAGATTCTCTAAGGGCAATACAATCGGTTAGGCAAAATCTTTGTAGGGCCTGGCGCCTTCTTCACTTCTTCATTTGTTTTTGGAACAGCGATGGTGATGTCCTTTGCGCCGCATATACCTTTGAGCGCTAGCTTCATTGCTTTGCCAAATGTCAGCTCTTGTTTCACAAACTGCCAACCACAGTGCCCAATGGGCTCATGGACATAAAGGTGTTGATGAATTCTAAGCGCTGTTGCTTTCCACGGATCTCAAGTTTCTTCTCAAGCAGACCCACAACAACCTGGGAGTCGAGGAAACGGACAGTTGCCGTTTTGAAATCCTCCGAAGTGCTTATTTGGAACAGGTAGCTCAGCTTCCCTCTTTGCTCGGCATCCGCGTTGTCCATGCTTTCTGGGCTAGACACTGCAACATTTGCAACATGCTTGAGTTCCGCAATGCTGATGTCTCTCATGTATTTCTCAACAATGTTATCTTGTGTCAAATGTCGCCACAACCAGCGCACAGTGCCACCAAGCGATGAGCAAGCCTCGTTCACAGACTCTTCTGAAGGATCTGGCGCAAAAAGAACCTGTTTGAATCTCTGCACCTCCTCCTTTGTCCATACAGGCATGGACCGGACAGAACTATGCCCCTGTTGCTGATTGTATGCAGAATGGTAGCTTGACCTGCTTGGCGATGTGAAAAATCATAGTGCATCCCCTGTCTCGGTTCTGTAGAGCAGTCTTGTTCTCACCCCCAATAGGGTCAAACAACAGCACTGTCTCTGCCCGCTTGAGAAAATTCAAAGGTTTTTCTTCACCATGCGCAGCGATCTCACCACCGGTTCTTGACCACCATTCCTGACCTCTTTGGATCACAATGTCATAGTTCTTCTCTGCCAAGAACCCAGCCATGTAAGCAAGGAAAATCGACTTGCCAATGCCGGGAGTGCCAGTGATGACGAAAAAACCAGTGCGACTTTCAGAGTTCAGCCTCATTTCCAACCATTTCATTGCCTCTACCTGCATCTTCACAAAGCAGTCTCGCACAATCAGTTTCTTCACAACATCTTCATGTCCATGAATGTATGTGTCAAACTCCTTCACCTCGTTTGCCTTCCACTCGCTTGGTTTCTTCTGGACAGTTTCTGCAAGCCACTTGCAAAGATCATCTTGCACTGGGATTGCCTGACACTACTCAAGGAGACCAAAAATAACACCCCAAAATCCAATCAAATACCCCACTCAAATTAACATACCTATGAACCAGGGAGGAATATAACAACAAAGCCTAAAAAAGGGGAGTGAAACAAAATTTGGGATTCTGTTGAATTCAAGGGGCTGGTGCTGGTGCGTTCGCTTCGCGAAGATTGTTGTGCAGCCGCAAGGCCACCTGCTCTCTAAGGTTCTCATTGCTGAATTCAGTAGACTCATCAAAGCATCAAAAGTGGCTGTGTAGAGATCTGTTTCTGAGAATTTGTCCAGCTTTGTGGCCACATTCGTCTTCACGGTCTCATCTAACTCTTGCAAACAGTCACGAAACCATGGACCATCAAGTTTCCGCTTCTTTGGCGGCGGCGCTTCTGCCATTTACTCGGGATTGCATACCAATGTCCCGAATACTGCAGTAGCAGAATGAACGTATGTGTGAATGTGCAGTTTGTGAATGCAACAAGTCATGATCTCTCTTAAAATCCTGAAAGGGTTTAGCTTGCACCTGCGATCCAAACATGCCACAGATTGGTATGAAAACCCCAATCAATATAAAACTGGTGAAACACCCATGGTCTTGGGAACCCAATGATTGGGACTTTCAAATCCCCAACACTTGGGACTTTAAAATTCCCAAGTCAGGGGATTCTGAAAGTCCCAAATGTTGCGACAACGGGTGTATCCTAAACCTTCAACAGTTCAGACCTCAAGTATTGTCTTTTTTGACCTCAAGTGAATAGTAGTTTTGACCCCATTTTTTCTCAATCCCAATGACCGTATATTTGGCACTGCTCCAGTTTGAAGTGCGTTCCTTTTCGGTGATAGCTTTCTTTCGGTATAGCTTTACTTCATCGCCCACCCTGAGATTGGGATATTTACGGATTTTGACCCTGTTCATTTCCAATTTCAACTCTACCCTCAAATGGTTTTCCTTTCTGTGGGCTTCATTTGGAGTCATGTCATGGGCCGAATGGATCATCTTACTATTATATGTCAACAAAATCTCATCCAAATAGTCGACCCATTCTATATTATTCTTGCCCTTTTTGATATCAGCATCAACCCTTTTCAATCCTTAAATGTCCTATTGAACCTCTCAACAAAATGGGGGTGGCTCCTGGTTCTATAAGTCCTTGAAGAGTTCCTGCATTTCAGCAGTTTGGAGTGTGCCCTTATCATCTGAGTATATGAGTTTGGGGCGTGATCCCATCTTCTTCATCCCTTCCAGAATTCCAGTAGTGACATCAGCCATATTCTTACTTTTAATGGGGGTTACAACGGCTTTTCTGGAAAAAGACATCCAATAACACAATCCACCTTTAAACTGTTGGTTCTTCAGATCTTTGGGAGAAATATATAGAAGACAAATCCAGTTGGTATTCATAATTGGCTTCTGGGGCAACAAAGCTATTGTACCCACTCAATTGGCTTTTCCTGTCAATGTTCTCACTGAACCAATCCTTAACATCTTGCATAGTGATGGATGGGTCCTTTTTTTTGGCATCTAAGTAGGTCACCCTTTGTGATCCAAACCCTGCACGGTCATAATATACATCATTGATAGTCTTATCCTTATCAGACATATAAATATAGACATATAAAATATACTTATATCTTAATAATCTAATATGATATCTTACTACTAAAACATCTATTACAGGAAGCACAGAAGGCAACACAGTTGTCCTTCAAGTGAGGCTGGTCGTTGTCCAAGCGCTGGGCGGTGAGATTGGAGCTGATGTTGCCACTGTCAATTGATAAAGTAAAGCCACAACCACAGTTATAACACTTATCATTGACCCTATCCAATAACCACTGGGCATCTATGTAATTGAATCTGTCAATGGTTCTATTGGCTTTACGATCCTGTTCTTTGTATGCAACTACTTTTCTCTGAAAATAATTATCAATACATTTTTCATTAAACTCTTCATTTAAATCACTACTGTATTTGTAAAACTTTACTCTGTTCAAACCCCTGGCTCTGGTGATTGCAGTCCATAACCACTCCCTTGACATTAAATGATGATTCCAATCAAAGATGGTGACATCATCATCTATTGAACATCCCTGCACGGAGTGGCAAGTAAAACAGAAGGCGAAGATAAAATGGCTTCTCAAGATACCCACGTGTAATACTATCTCTTCTCTGGTTTTGATGTTGGCTATGGTGATCCAAGGGTCAGAAACAGAAATGATTGCATACCTAAAATTGACATTAATTTTGTATGTTTTAGTTTTCCGGTATTCCCTGCATATCATCACCTCGCCAACTTCAAATTCAGATTTCTTACCCTGACGTTTCCTGATTTGCTTTGATACTTCCCTGCAAGTATTGTTCAGATAGGCTATGTTGGATTCAGTCCCTGCTATGTCAGTTGTATATTCAAAATAGTTATTGATAACATCAATCAAATCAGTTCTGCGTTCAAATATGGCATCAAAGATATTCTTGAGTTTATTCCGATCCTTTTCACCAAGCCTTTTACATTCTTCAAGGTATATATATATATATATTGAGGGAAGATTGTATCAATACATTCATTCATATATACTTCATGTTTCTTGGTGTTGGTAAGGGCTTTGATGGGTACCAACTGCTTGGCATCACCAGTGGCCAAAATAAATTTGTCCTTCCAGTTCTGATCAACGAAGTCCTTAATTTTTTTCCAAAACATAGCTATTATTGAAACAGATCTCATCAAAAACAATGACATCAAACTCAGAATAATCATACTTACCCAGTTGTTCATCTCCAATAGCTATACTGAAGAATTTGTTTATAGTAACATTCAACATCGCATTCCAGTCCCAGAATCACAAGGAAAGGTGACCGGTGACCGAATGAAGAATAATGGCGAACTGCAGTAATGGTCTTGTTGTACTGTATGGGAGTGAATTTCAATAGGGAGACCCCCAACCAATGGGTTTTGGGTCTATTACATTCCTCCTTCCAAAGGGTCTTTGCGAGGTTCCCCTATTTTAATGCACACTCGTCTGGCAGTGGGATAGGAACAGGCCATCTTGTCAAACTCATTTGCAACTAGGCTCGTGGTTTCCAAGCTTCCCTGCGCTTGACTGGTTGTGAAGAAAATGCTGCTCAAATGGCCTATGCTGGAAGACCTTGGTGTGCAAAGCTTCTCTTGCACTTCCGCAGCGAAGGCGAAGACATGTTTTCTGCTTCGCTTGTCTGACCAAAAACAAGTTGCTCAAAATCAGGCTCAGTCAACTCAAGAACAAGCTGACAATTTTCCAAGCAGGGGCGAACTTCCTAGGATTGGGCCCTTTCTCCGTAGGGAGGCTTCTAGAGCTGCTGCAGTAGTCCCCAAAACCTAACGCCCCAAGGCCAAGTGACGGCAGGGGTAGCTGAATGATCTCCATGCCCTCCCTTTGGGCAACACCTGGAGAGCAAAGGGAATGGCTGTGCTGATGATACACTTGGCCGATTATTAAAAACAACTAAGCGCATCATTCGCTCGCACTTGCTGATGGGTCATCCAGCGGGATGTGTGTTGCATGGCTCCTCCTGCAACTCTTGCTCATGCAGATCTTTTGCACTGATTTGGTCCAAACTTTGAGGCCTGCACCTTGTCTCACTAGGAGCCCGGTCGACAGGACCCTTGGTGAGCGAATGAAAACCGCAAATCGAGAAGCTGCAACGAAGACTCACAGCAAACTTTGGATTCAGCAACAACACCCGCACAGGACACACAAGAAAGATAAGAAGCATCTGAAAGGGCTTAGGTCATGGGTAGAAGTCACCCGCAGTTTTAGGTCTTGGCCTTAACTGCTCAAATCTCGGTGGTCGTTCTTGGATGCCGTGCAGGACCAGTGCCGGGGCGAGTGGCCAAATTGGAAGCACGTTCTCCTAGCATTCAAAGAAGCAAATCTTAATTGGAAGAATTCTGCGGATTGCGTTCTGGACTTGTGACACAGGCAATGAATCTGTGCCCACCATAGAGGCTTCCCGTAGTTTGATGTTCCGTGCGAAAGCATGTATGGTGTATGTAAACCCTCTCGTCTGGCAACTCTCTTCCGGTTTGGGAAACCAGAAGTCCCAGTCTGCCAAAACGGGACTGTCACGTTTGTCTTCTCATTTGGGCCTTTTGCGGGCCCAGATTCAACTTAACACCTGTCACTCTTCCGTCCATTGCGCTCTCAGCGCCCAGCAATTCCATCCACAAAAAGCTGCCAGGTGTCCGAATCCCATGGCCTCTCAAGAACTAGCACTCGGAGCCACATCTGATGGCCAATGTGTCCCCTGAAAACGTCTGGGACGTGTTGAAGGCAAGTCTGTACGAAAACTTGCTTTGTGTCGACTGCGTCGCCGTCGCGCTGCGCCGCCGAAAACGCGCTGAGTCCACGACCAAATACTCAACGGGCTCAGGACATCATCCCTTAAGGACACGAGGAGTATCTTGCATCGCTACTAGGGCTCCACAGCTCCATCAGCTCCACGGCTCCGGTGTCTCACTTTCGTCTCCTGTTGTCTCTGAGCTCCAGGCGTTGCGTTGGTCTGAGTTAAAATTTGAGAAATGCACATTGTAGAGGTGATGATGCCTCACGATTCCAGCCAAATTTGGTTCATCTGTTCCTTCCGCCTGTATAGAAACACCACCGCACCGGAACCTAAATGAAACCAAACGGCTAAACGTGAGGCACTTAACTCACACCATAAGGACCTATCCGGGAAAGAAATTTGTCAACAACTCTGCGTTGGCGCTCCACCCAGCAGTCTGACGAGCAAACAAAACGCTCACCGGACAGGGTGAGGCCGGTTGAGGGACCAAATTTATATAACCGAGTGGCTCCTGTCCTAGTCACTAGTCCATCCTAGTGGATGTCGTTTGCGAAAGTGTCACTTGATTCAGGTCCCAGCCCAAGGACTGAGAGATCCATTGTAGATCCTCGATGTCCTCCGCGTTTACGGCAGGCAAATCCTCGGATGGCAGAATTGGTTTGAGAACCACCTGTCCAAGATACATTGGGATTTTGTGATATGTTGTGTCCATGATTGGTCTGACGTGCAGCAACGCGCCCTTTTTCGGCTACAAGGCAGGAAAGTGCTCGTGGACATTGTTTCGTAGCTGCCGTTCGGCTTGTGCATCCCAAGGAATTGATAAGAGTTCTGCATTTTTCCATTGCTCTGTATGCTCTCTTTAGTGCACTCATTTCCCCGGATGCTAGCACCTAAAGCATTCGATCTAACTTCAGTCCGGCTGGGTTGATGCGTGTCGATGTGTGGAACTGAAGCCTGCAAATGACAAAACCTATCAAAACACGTGATGCATGTTCAGAAACTCAGAGCCAGCTGTTCCCCAGAGCTATGTAAATTTGTAGAGTTGTGTGATCTATTTGTATATATATATATACATTCATATGTTGGTGTACATCGTACATGTAGACCACATGCCACACGTAGTATGAATTCTGAGCAGGTCTCCGACCACATCATCCTCACACTTCCTAGCCTCCCGCTGCATGCTTTCACGAGCGAAAGGAAGCCACCTCGTACGCTTTGATGCTGCATGGTCAGAATTATCATATTCAGTCGCGTCCTATCCGGCAATTCTGTCTTTTCTTGCCATGGCCCTGGCAATACCTGTCTGACAATTGGAGCACACCCGGAAGTTTTTGCGGGACCCCGCCTAACATGCACCAGTGCATGCTGACCAATCCTCTTGCTTGGGTGATGCTCACAGGTTCCAGCTATCAGGCATCCTACAAAGGCCTTAGGTGGCTGGCTGTTTGCCAGCTAGCTGCACGATCCCTTGCTACAGTCATGTAGAGTACAGTCGCCCTGTATGGAGGAAGCTGCACAACACCGCGTGAGTAATTTATATCTTTCGCTTGATTTCAGGGCATCGTGCTGCTGTGTGCCTCTGCGGAGTCAGAGATCTATTGGCGGCTAGGTTGCAAGAACCATGCCTTTCACACACCCAGCCTATCTGACCCTTGTGCCACCCAACACTTTGCAACTTGCGAACATTTGCAGCAAACAGTTTGCACAAAAAAAAGTGTTAAGATTCATACTGTAGATGTTTCAGCACAAGGGTCTTTTGAGCCCAGATCTGTTGCAAACCTGAGGGCCGTTGGAACCCCCTGCAGAGGGCATCTCATGAGACAAATTGGCAATGCCTCCCATAGACACTTATTTTTCTACACCGTGTTATTTCTGTGCCGTAATTAGGTCGGTTGGCTCTACGAAGTCAAGTGGCATAAGGAATCTGCAAGTTGGTTCTACTCGCTGTGGCAACGGGGTGGCAACTGAGGGTGGACATCCCCGAGTTGTCGCTTGCAGGGTTTCACATGGCCACTTGTTGCGTGCATCCTCTGACAAAAGAAGTGCCTGACACGTCACAAATGTCCCAGGGATCAAAACATGCGTTGCACAGTTTGTTTGCACCTCGGTCATGCATGCTGCTGTCTGCCCAGTCTAGTCATACGTACAAACAATGAGCTGGCAGTTCAGTGGGGAGAACTTACGACAACTATCTGCTGTGCAGAACACCCAGAACACTCCTTCTCGGTGCTTGCCAGGTTGCCATTTCTTAACGCAGCTGCGGACTCTGGGAAATGTAAAAGAAAACGATGTGGACTCACCACGCAAGACTGCAAGACCCTCCTATATGCGCAAGCTTGAAGTATGGGTAAAAATACATTCGACTCAACGATCACCAGTCCCATCTAGAGATGCCACAAACATGAGACCAAGCCCGTCTCGGGCATCGCTCAGAAACTCAGGCATCGCCCAAAAAGACCAGATTTTGAAGTCTCAAGTAATTATGCAACACTCCAATGACATTGTGTTTGGCATTCTGTAGTTATTTGTTTGGCATTGCTATTGTTGGATACGTCCGAAGAGGACAGCAGGCCTTTTTTATTGCGACGAATTGGTGTGAGACGTCGTCCAAGGCTGGCCGAAGTTGTCCCTGCCAGGCACTTCCAAAGGCACTTCCAGTGTGATGAATGGGAACTCCCTGCTTTGAAAGGGGTAGGCATGGCGGCCTAGCCATGTGGGAGGGAGTATGTGTGTAGTGCGGTGGAGTAGAGTGTGTGCGCATGCGTAATCTGTCGGTGTATGTGGTGAGGTTAGAATTGCAACTTGTGTAAATAGCTGCATGCTAGATGCAAGGACAAAGAAGGGCTAGGCCCCTTCCGCTTTTCCAACCCAACCCGCCTTATTTCTTCTTCACTGGCTTCAGCACCTTGAAGCTGCACATCAATGTGTCATCAATAGACATCATGGCGCCCGCGTTGTCAAACTCCCCACCTTATGATGGACAAGTTGGGGAGCCACAAATCAGAGCCTGATGACCAACAACTAGTTATACAGTCAAGCTATGGGCTTTGGAACCCGCTGGCTGAACGCGGCGTACAATGTTAAAAAATGTTCGAAGACCCAACCGATTGAGCGAGACAACCCCCTGTGGCATAGGAACAGGCATATACAGTATCTCTTTCCAGAGGTTACTGCATGATACTTTCCGCAGCCTCCATTGGCAGCATGCTGATGAAAACCAAAACACAAACCCACAAAAACAACCCTATTGAAACCGACCAATAATGTGTGTCTGAGCTTCAGGCCGCGTGCTCGTAGCACAAATCAACTTTAAAACGATCCGCGTTGATTTGTTGCTTTGCAACTGTGAAAGGCACTTTGGGAAAACATTATTGCGCCTCTCTCTCTCTCTCCCCCTCTTCTGGGACAATTTAATTCTTGCAAATAGTCGAAAAATCAAAGAATGGCCAATGGTTGGGCCACACCGGCACCGGCACCCTGCAACATTGAGGAGGAGGAGGAGAAGGAGGATCAGAAACAAGGCTCTTGACCAAAACCAGCGATAGAAGTCTTTCCACTGCTATAATTTGTAGCTTGGACAGGAAAAAGCTTAAGCTTAAGCGATTGAAGAGTCTTCCAGGGGAAAGAACGCAAAACGAAAGCTCGCTTGCCTTGCAAGGCCCAGCTGCAATAGTTCGGAGCACTGAACAAAGTGATCAGCTGGCGCTTGGCAAAGAATTCGTAGCCATCCTCCACAACTTGGTGCGCCCGGCACACCAAATCCATGTCCTCAGGCGAGCACAGGGGAGTGGGATTATTCCCTTCACGTGTTGACTCTCGCTTGAAGAATATTCCCTTCATGCATCGTCTTTATTCAAGGCTCATGTTTCTGCAAGAAGGTGCTTACTACGTCGGGGCCAAAAATGAAGGACCTCAGAGCGCGTAGTTTCGGCAGAGCAGGACACTATCTAATGATAATGCTGCATGCTCATTCCAGTGCTTGTCCTCAAAGTCTAAATCTGGTAAAGGGACACTCCACGATCATTCTCGGCCCACCCAGTGATCTCCTGGGAATAGGAGAATAGGACAGCTAACAATGGCCAATAGCACGTCGCTCAAGTGGCAGTCGCTCAAACACTCATGTCCTTGTCTGGATCGGCCCACAGGAAATCACAAATCAATCCGGTATCAGGCACGTCTGTGGGGCGCACAATGCGCTTCACCTGGCGCAAGTCACCAATTGCGGAAGCAATTCGCACCCGACAGGGAAAGTCATCGAGGCATCAATTATAACCATGTGTTTTTTGTGTTTTTTGTATATATTTCTTGTTTTTGTTTAAAAACACGTCGTTTTGTTGGGAACTGTTTAACAAAAAAGGCCCGCAGCCCACGCTGCAAGGCCTGCGCTCGCGCACTCTCAACATGGGATACACTGTCACGCATTGAATCTGACAGCTTACGCTCTGCGAAGCCTGCTCGAAGGTGGTTATCTCCGGCGAAAGGCCTGCCACATAAGAAAGCACGACAACTTTTTTTAGCCTGTGAGGCCGCAACCCAACATCAAGAAAACAAAGCGCAACATCAAGCAACATTCAGATTAGGATGGAAAAGGCCCCGGTCTGACTTGGATCGCAATGATCAGCTTGATGGAACAACGCGCACCCGAACTTGCAAGTTTTGCAAGCAAAGGATCCCGCAAATCACGGCACCTCCGTGCATACAAATGATCTTCTCCTCAAGCAGAATTCTATGGCTTGTTGTTGGGTGGTATGAATGCCGTAAGGAGCTTTTCTGGCCACTGGGACAACTAAAAGAGCATCGGGTAACTGTTCTGCGACGCAAATGCGCACCCGACAACAAACCCGGCACCGAAGGATGGCAATTGTCGTTCCCTCCAGGCATGTTGCTGATAGCAAACAAGGCTCGTCAATGATAGCACACACTGGCATACAATTGAACACATCACCTCAGAATCCGAATGAACATGACAAAAGGTCTTCTTTGCAAAGAATTGGTTGGAACTATCAAAGCACACTCTGGGTGCAGGCATGGAGCAGAACTGCTTCCACAATTTGATGTTGTAGCGGCGCTTGCATTCATCATAGAAGCCGTAGATGCGAGTAATGGATGCACACTCCTCAGATTTGTCTTGGAGGGTGACTCCTCCAAAGGTCTGCCTTCCCTCCTAGATTGAACAAATCAAACGTTATGAGTCACGACACATAAATTACGGCCCCTCCATTCAGCACATGAGAATTCTCAAGTATACTTGAGAAGCGGGAACGAAAGCAAAATAATACTTTGCTTTGCTCATTCCACCACCATCCGCAAGAGAATTCCTATCAATGGAGGTGTACCTTCAGTGCTAGTGTCACCAATAAGACTTGTTAAAAATGCTTGAACCTTAATCTGGAATAACCTTTGTCGAAAAAAGTCCAACCACTCAAGGTCCGATGCTTGCAATGCATTTTGTCCGATAGGTGGGGAGGTGATCGGAGCTGGCTTTCGTGATTTATTGACAATAATAACCATTGTTGCCGGTGCTCTCTAAGGAGGTGCTCCTGGTGTTCCAATGTCTTTTTTAGCATACGTTCACCAAATCCGAATCCTAGCTCAATCCTTGCCATGGCCCGCCATGGCCCCTCAAACAATGCAGCGAACACCATTGCACACACCAATGCCAAAAAGAAATCCACGTGGACATTCCAGCGCTGACTGGCCAAATGGACAATGAACACTGATGCATGGAGCACCGCCGTAAGTTTCCCCTTCTCGTTGCAAGTGGTGTGCTGGCTATCGGCTATCGGTTGCAACCAAGACTGGCATGTCTTGCAGTGGTTGGATGTGTGCAGGGGCCTTGCCGGGCCGGGCCCCTATTGCAATTGGCGGTTGTTATTGAAAACTCCACCAGCGATTATTACCCACAGTGCTCCCCTGAAAAAACAACACATGTACCACACAAGGCCAAGTGGCATGATTGCCGCGCAACAAGAAAAAGTTCTCAGGAAACTTCACCTGGAGAATTAAAGGAACGCCGCAACAACATGTCGCTATTTGTTTGTGAGCATCGTTCTTTGAGCAACGACCGTCGTTGTTTCATGCCGTGAGGACTGGGCCTTGTAGGCGAAAAGCAGGGTGATGGTTTCCAAGCTCTGCTTGCCACGGTCCACATAGTCGCCTGCCGGGCCACTAGGCGAGCCTGCTAGAAATCAGGATGTGCGAAGTGGATGGGCCAGCGACGAAACGATGCCGAGACATCACGACATACGGATGCGCCTAGAAAGAGGTAGTTGCTCTCCGGAGGAAAACCACCATACTCCTTGGATGCCGGCCCTCATCACTGCACAGCTCGCCGAATGTCAACACTTCTGAAAGCACCAAAACAATAAACACACCCAACGCAAGCTGAAAGTACAAAGCCCCGCGTCAAAAAGCCGCAGGAGGTCGTGGTACTGACCGTGCACGTCGCCGCAGATTTTCAATGGCGCCTGATCCACTGATCGAACAGCTGGGAGCTAGTGCTCGTGGGCGTATCTACACACGCATCGAATCAATGCATACATACATACATACATACCATACCATACCATACCATACCATACCATTACATTACATTACATTACATTGCATACATCCATTAACATAACATAACATAACATTACATTACATAACATTACATTACATTCATACATATATGTATGTGTAACATGTATATTTATATGTATCCATAACATGTATTAATACAGTATACGCCGATGCACCGTGCATAGTGCATGCATGTGTCAAAGAATAACTCGGCATCTTTCATGTAGCATGCATTGGTATTTAAAAGAAATATATATATATATCTATACACAGGTAGAAGGTATCCCAGTTGCACATAGTTGCATCAACACACGCCTTGACCGGGGGGAAGGACGTCAATATGACACAAGTTTTAAGACCTTGGTGGCATTTTCCGAGCTACACTGTGCGGCGGCGGCGGTGTCTGACCAAATGTCCACCAGAATATATAGTTTTGAACAAGCTCGACCCAGAGGTGTACTAAATCTGGATATCAGCCCCAGAGAGAGGAAGAAAAAACAGTTCATGCCGACTGATGCCGCACTTCGCTGTGCCCGGCTGTGCCCTCTCATCGGCTCCTTGTTGCTAATAGCTTCGTGTTACTAGTAGCAATGCCAGGAGCTACTAATAGCTTCTTGCTAGTAGCAATGCACCTTGCTGCTAATGGCTTCTTGTTACTAGTAGTAAGGCCAGGAGCCCCTAGTAGCTTCTTGCTCCTAGTAGCTAATGGCTTCTTGTTTTCTCATTTTGGCCAACTTCATGTTCAAACGTTTCCGCCACGAACCACAGTGAACTCCACGGTGCGACGGACGATGCACGGACGGACGCGGAACGAAAGCGGATGAACGAACGTCCCCGAATAAGCATTCCAGTGGTGTCAGAGTAAAGATGGCACTGGCACCCCAAGATGTCCTTTTGAGGGAAATTATCTCATAAACTCACCTATAGACTATAGGCTTCCAGTAGGCAAAAGTTGGGCTCTCTAGCCCACTCCGGCTGCCGGCTTGTGCCTCGAGCTCCAACAAAGGACTCTGGTCCAGAAAGATGGTTCGAGCCTCATTTCACGCTTGATCCGCTTTGAGACCGAGGTTCTTCAGGACCCTAGTTCGACCATCCCATATAATAAATATATATATATATATGTACCCCAGTGGGGTCTTTATAAGGTCACTTATATAACCGTCGACATTCCAAGAGTTTCTTGCCCACATTCAGTTCCAATCGCGTGTCAGTTTCGCGCCCTGGATTTCCACAAATCTCAGTAGGTCCCGATGTTCTGAGTGCCAGGACCGCGGTACAAAGGCTCTTCACTTGGCCCTCTGGAATCTGCACGAGCTTTCCAGGCTTTCCTGCAGATGAATAGAGCTCCACCTCTTTGCCTCATGGTCTGCAACATATGTTGAGTTCTACCCAAGAGGGCGCAACTGGCACCCTCAAACCATACAAAAACACCCATCCGTGCATGTTGAGTGATGCACTTTCAAGTTCTGCTTGTGTACACAACCACCCGTCAATTTCTTCTTAGGACATCTTAGCACAGGCTTACATTTAAGTATTTCACATATCATATCATCAATTCGGGCAGGCTACTGTTTACCTAGGCTCCGCTCTCGCGACTCTACGCACTTGGTCTGTGAGGACACGGTTCAGTCTGAACAACCCGTTGTGTTTCCAGCGGCGAGATGTTTGGCAGTTGTTCATAATCAGCTGCCGCTGTCCTCCCTTCGCCTCCAAGCATTTCTCGATGATATCATCATTCGCCAAATCTTCCTGGGCACGTGAGCAGGAGTCGTTCATGGCAAGCGACATGTGTTCGAACCAACTGCATCCAAAAAAAAACCATGAAAACGCATATACATCTGTGCTGGGCGACGGTCTTCTTCATGGCTTCTTGGCAAAAATCGAGTGTCGCCTGGTAGCGTGGGTGAGTCTAGCTCTTTTTGGAAGACATTGGACTCTACTAATCTTGGCGTTAATAGAGGCATGGGCAAGGGGTGGTTACTCTCTTGGATGCCAAAGTGTGCCCTGTTATTACAGTAATGCAACTGCAAGTTCCAGCATTGCAGTGGTCCACGAAATGTGTGTTGCAGCTTATAGTAAGTTTAAGATGAGGCCACAAGAAAAAACTGCTTGACACATCTTGAGATACGCCTAGCGTCCTCACCAGCATCAGAACAACTAAACACTGCAATGTCACTGCAACAATCAAATGGACCAAATTGGCGTACAAAAGTAGGGTGAAGAATGCTGGCCAACCAAGGAAAAAATTGCAACACGACGACATACATCAGAGTTGACCGCTTAAGCTGGCATCTCAGGCAACTCCCACAATACCAAGAGAAGAACACCATGATAAGTTTGCAAACGGTTGGTGTTGCACCACTTGCACAAACAAGCAACAGGAGCCTTGCAACGACAACTTGATCAAACCAGCAACAGGGCCGAACAAAATAACAAAGACTGCGTAGTGGATTGTGGCACGCCAAGTTTCAAACCCCTGCACCCCGCTCTCTGACACACTTTTGCTCTGCCAACAAAACAGGTACACAAAGCATATCTTTGGGCCGCCCCTGCCTGATCACCGACCCGACGTTCCGAGGCTGCTTTGGGCCACAACGTTAGATTCGGATGATGCCAGTTCAGGTTTACTAGGAGTAAGGACGCTACTAGGGGCTCCTGGCCGTACTACTAGGAGCAGCATCGCTACTAGGAGCAAGAAGCTACTAGGTAGTATATACATATATATATATACATGTCTTTTCCAACAGCTGTCACATGAGACTCTAGTAAAATCTTGAATTCCAGCGTTTTGGCGCAATTAACAGGCTGGCAATCAACTGTCTAAATAAACAGTCACAGTTTCCCTTGTGGTGTTTGGCTGCTAGATTTCCTGTCAAGGTCTTATGCGCATTCATATGCAGATTGCCTTGCACCTAGTATGAAAAGTTCAGCGAGTAACCAGAACGTTGCATGTCCCAGTCAGCTCGAGTGGTTTTGAGTGCAAGCAAATAAATATATAGATATATAATCGATACATAGATAGCTAGGTAGGTAGGTAGGTTGATAGAATCGCCAGATAAAAAAGAGAGAGATGCACAAGTGGGGATGGGGGTAGCAGGCTTTGATGCACACTTGTCGTGCTTTGATTGATGGTCGCCCATTCTCAGGTACTTGCTGCACATCTCCGTTCATCCTTTTTTTCCATGCCGCGAAGAAGTGCGTGGCACGTGAAAATGAGATAATTCGGAACTTCACCAGCAGCGAGTGCAGAAAGCTCTGTGCTTGTAGAAGGGTGCATTGACTTATATATGCAAGTGGAAATCATCCACAGACAGCTTCACCGCTGCTGAGACGTTCCGTCTCATATCTGGAAGCCGGTTGTAGGAAAGCCGTCACATGCCGGGTTGCGTGATGCATCTTCTAAGGTGTCTGACTGCTGGGCCAACACATCACTCTGGCAGCGAGGTGCTACGTGTGAGAGTGGGAGCCTTTAGAGTAAAGTCTGGCAGCCAATGAGGCGCAAACCCCCATGGAAGTCTCTCTGGTGGCCTAAATCAAGTGCAACCATGTAACGCTCCTGACAGCCCCCGCTCGGCGGGATGCCGCGACCGCTGAAACGGGCAGCCACGGCAACACGGCGAGAAGGGCAACCACCTCGTCTGACGAGGCGGTTGCGTTTGGCCACGTAATGCGGGTGGTTTTCACCACGGAAGTGATCACATTCACAAAGGAGAACCAAATTTGACCAAATTTGACAAGTTCATTTCATTTATTGAGGGTTGTGACTTTACTATCATCTAGTCGCAAAAGCACTTTAAAACTAGTCGGTGAAATATCAGCTCAGCACCAGGGGCATGGGTCACCATGCACGCAAGAGGCTTGCGTCACCAGGACATGCTGTCCCACAAAGTGTGCGCCGGTTCGGCGCTCTTGTTTCATGACACGAGGAAGGGATCAAACACTGAACTACCAAACAAACACAAAGCCGCGTGGTTCCTTGTTGCATCATATCCGTCTTGATGCAACCATGTATGAAAACGGTTTCAAGTTTCTAACCTGCCTGCAGTGGTTGTGCCCAATCACAAGTCTAAGGACGTTTTGAAAAAAATTGAGCTCGAGTGCCTTCAAAATCGGTTCAACTTTATCTTGTTTGCTATTAGTAACCAGGGCATCGCTATTAGTAGCAGGTGCATTGCTATTAGTGTACTAGCAAAAAGCATCCTGTAGAGTCTGTCGAGTTCTGTCTCACCTTCCTCGTTGGCCTCCCTTCGCAGCGGCACAGCCCCTGGATTCTGAAGGTCCCATGCAAGCCCAGGTGGGTCACGTGACGGTCACGTGGGTGCAAAATGCTTCGCCGTTGGCCGCAATCGACTTTTTCTGAGGCTCTTGGGACTGTAAACCCAAAAGACACATGGCTCAAATCCATCAATCAAACCCGATCCTACGATCCCAGAGCTTTCCTTTGACTTTGAGATGCCTGAAGACTCGGAACAGCGTAAGGACATTGTGACTGTGAGGGCTCAGGCTTTTCCTTTTCTACATAAGGGGTCCGAAGTGTCAAAGGCCTGATGATCGTGACCTCTCTTCCCCGTTACTTGGAAGAGTCTAGGTGTTGTGCAGCCGCCCCACAAGTACTCTCTTTCTCGGTCCCTCTCTGTCTCCACTTCCTCTCCTGTTTCACCTCAATCCCAGTGCATGCGACTCCACCAAAAGGGCTTCACGGCCAGCTCTATTGTTCAGCCGGGGCAAGTATCTCATGTACGAATACAATTCTGATTCCGTCAACAAATGCCTGATTTCCTCTCATGCAACAGCACCTGATTAAGAACATCTATGCTTGGCTTAGGCTTGGTTTTCCCAGGTGCGCGGACAAACATTGAAGCAGTCAGAATCATGTGTTGAAATGTGTTGAACTCTCAATATACTCAATCATCAATATACTCCATCTATCATTAACGTATGCGCGGCCATAAACGTAGCCTTCCCGTTCACATCACACTTCTAGGCAGTTTTCTACCACGTTTTTCTCCTCAGGGTTGGAGGAAAGATGAGGAAAGCAGGGTCCCTGGAGGCCACGTTTGCATGAAGGATGACAATTTTCTGCCGGTCACCTTCCGAACATCCACTTCCACCATGCTGCGTCCACCGAACCCAAGCGAATTCGGGTTTGTGGGTCGACAGTCCCGTTTCGTGTCCAGCTTCTGACCACTTTCAGTGTCCATGACTATGATTCCAATTACCTATGGTTCCTTGCATGATCCAATGATTCCAAGCACCATCAAATTCTGAACATCAACTTCCTGCACAGCACAGCCCTGCGCTTCAGCCACTGCCCCCCAAGCTGAACTTCTGAAAAACAACGCACAATAGAGTCATAGCTTAGCTGTCCGACCAAAAGCCGTCGTGACCTCTTCCTGATCGTTTTGATCTCTACTTCTTTGCATTGTCCCTTTCCATGCCGGCAAGCTCCTGTGTCTACCTTGGGCCTTGTCTTGAAGCATCGATCAAGATCACGACAGCTCTCTCGAATTTCGTTATATCTCACGACTTCGTTCACTTCTTCTTCACGGGCTTTAGCACTTTGAAGCTGCACATGAGCGTGTCGTCGATCGACATCATAGCGCCAGCATTGTCAAATTCTCCGCCTTATGAAGAACATGAGCAACACCAACACGGAGGACCGAAGCAAAGTTATATACACTTGGCTCAGCATTCTGAACTCAACAGAAAACAACCACCGCACAGTTAGTGCAGGCTCTCCTCCTACAAATCCTAAAACAAGCCTTGACAAAAAAAAACACATGTCCTCAAATCAGTGCGTTTGCTGACCAAAAATCCCTTGGTCAATTCTTTTCATGTGCGAAACTGTTCCCGTAAATTGATTAAAGCATATGGACTCTTGTGTCCTCTTCGCATGCACCCGTTCATTGTTCTTGTTGGCTGTTTAGCATAGATTTCGATGCTCTGCTCCTTTCGATGCTCTGCTCTTGGCATGTTTCTTGAAAATGCCGGGAATTCTTCCGAAAGCACCCGAGCGTTCAAACGAAGCCAAGTTTTCAACTGCTTGTTTTGGGCATTGGAAGATGCGAACCGGGTCGTTCAGGGTTCGCGCAACATGGCTATACAAGAACCCGTCCGGGAGGGTTCTAGTTCAAACCGCTGAGACTGGCAAGGTGGATACAAGGGTTGGACGGTTCGAGTCAATAGTCCAGGTTTCCGGCGTTCCCCCCTTTCAGATCCAAGGAATCAAGCTACGTTCAACAGGTGCAAGATGGAGCCGAACAGAATGCGAACAAACAGCACTTCACAAAGAATTGCCGTTTCGCAAAAGCTCGGATTGAACAAATGTGTCGAACACCTGACAGGTGTTCATGCAAGGTTCTCATATGAGGACAAGGTCTGTGAAAGCAAACGCACGAAAAAGCAGTTCCATATTATACAGGTTCCACGAATGGCTCTCATGTTGCAAGAATTGCCCACGACAATCCAAAGATATCGAAAGCAGAACGGTTGAATGGTCGTGACACTGCGGAATGGAACAATGAAATAAACATTCTCCTGCATCAGGTAACTGATTTATATATATATATATTACTATAATTTATTATACATTATAAATCGAGTATGTACCGGCAAGTCAGGTGTTCATGCTGAAAGCCCTGCATAGAGAAACATGATTCAACAGATTCCTGGGTCCCCATGTTCCGGTTTTTGGAGCTGTGGACGAACGATGCACGGCAAAAAGAAATGGGCCAAAAGGGTCAAAACATTCCCCCAGTGGTCTGAGACTCCAGGTTCCATATGGTTCCATAATGTCCTTTTTAGCTTCCGCGTTGATTCCCGGTTCCGAGCGGTTGGCTTCGAGGGTTCTCAGGTGTCGTTCGGTCCCTTGGTTCCGTAAGCCTAGAGACCTGAGGCTACAGGACATGCCATGAATGGCATCACACACGACTCATCACCTGCAAACAAAGCCACAGTAGTTGGGGGCGCTAAAGAGCGTGATGAGCTGGCGTTTCGCAAAGAACTCATAGCCATCTTCGACTACTTGATGGGCCCGGCAGACAAGGTCCATATCCTTAGCCAAAGCGAAAGCCTTGCCTGCTTGCAATTCACAAGGCCGCGACCTTAGACCTTGGCCTCCGTGATATCAGAAGTCCAAGTATAGGAGTCTTATAGCCACTTGGTCACGCCAAAAAAATAGAAAACTGCACGATTTCATAACCAGAATGGGCGGGCGCCAGCTCCGGAGCAGGACAACTGCACTCGCGGACCATCGCCCGAGCGAGGCCCTTTGGATGGCCCATTGGGAACCGACCCGAGTCCAAAACGGCCCTGGAAAGCCGAGGCGCTTGTTTCTGCAAAAAGCTCGCCACAATGTCTGGACCAAAAATGAATGATACTCCGCGATCATTCTCTGCCCAGCCTGAAATGTCCTGACCACGAGCATCGACAGCAATGTTGGCATGGATGCTGATGGTTAGGGAATGATGTAAACGAGAAGAACGGCTTTCCTGATACACCGAAGTGTGAGAAAGAATCAAGGTGGACTTGGGCCTACTTTAATAAGACCCACCCTTATTCGCTGTTCTTTATGTTGTCTTAAGAACAAAGCCATGAGTCTAAGACTGCTTGGTGTCCTAGCTTCCTAGGTGAGCTTTATGCAACCTCTGGACTCTGGGTGTTTTGTTCCGGGGATGGGCCATGGACAAGAGTTACAGTAATTCATAAAATGCGGTCAGTTTGTTAAAGTCAGTGATACCCCCAAAAAAATGTATGATTTGTTCTTGCCGTGTCTGGTGCCTTTATAGAAATGGAACAGTTGCTGGTCGACCATCAGGCCTTATCAGGATCAGCCCAGAGAAGGTCACAAATCAAACCGGTATCCGGCACGTCAGTAGGGCGAGTGATGCGCTTCACCTGCGGAACGAAAGCATAAGTCGGAGCAAGGAAAGACTGACAAAAGTGCTTGAACATTCAGACTCCAAAATTTTGGCAAACAACGGGCGTGTATTACACATTGCGAATGGGAAAGGCCAGAAGTCAAGGTGCAACGGTGCAACCCCAACAAAGACTTGCACACAAGCTTCAGACCCTGTTCGAGCTTCCGACCTGGTCGAAGCTGTTGATTTCAGGTGAGAGCCCGCCTGATGCCGGTCGGCATGGACGAGAAAAGGAACACCAGGGTCAGGTCTCAACACCGTGCATTCAGCTTGCGCCACAAATGATAAAACCGACTTAGTAAACAACTCACTAAAAATCATCTTTGCATGCTGGATGCCGTGCATACAAACGATCTTCTCGTCAATAATGGCCTGGCCCAAGAAATCGAAGAATCTGACAAATCTGGAAGGTATGTAACCAGCTCGAGGTCTAGTGCTAGAGCGAAGACATTAGACGCTTACAGTCTCAGCTATGTGCCATTACACTGGTGCTGGTAGAAGGATAGAACAGCTAAACGCGGGCTGTCACAGCGAATGGGACATCTAATCTAATGGTCCGTTTAGCCGAGGCACGCAAACCGACATGCAATTGAATACATCGCAGAACTGTTTCCACAATTTGATGTTGTACCGGCGCTTGCACTCCTCAGCTGCCATTGTACAGGCACGATTTTACTTTCTACAGTATAACGATGGTATCTTTGGATGATGGTTCCATGTCTACAAAGGTTTCGGGTGCTCTGACTGCCAGTAGCGCAGCTCATCGTGTCTGATGAAAATGCCTGTGGAACAAGTTTGCTTACCCGAAGCCCTTGCAGTCTCAGAACTAAAGCAATCCGATGCTAAGAATATCTTTCATGAATCGTGTTGATTGAGATCATCCAGCAACTTGAAGCAGAACTGAATAGAAACCAAAATCAAAAGTCAGTAGGAAAGGAAGGGTCGTTGTTAGCCAAGGCAGCAAGCGATAAAAAAGAAGCGAGAAGCTGCCCTGACTCAACCTGAAGAGTCTGCTCAATAAAAAAATATCCTGAAAGAAAGCCAGATAATATAAAGACAAGTACTGAAAAGTTGTAGAACTTATGACAAAAAGGCTTTACAAGTGGCGAACGGGGCCGTAGCAAAATCATCTGCAAGGTGGGCATGTATCATGTTGATTGCTTCAATTGAGTTCAGCTGCCCGGCTGAAAGTGCAGGAAGAGTGGCCACAAGGAGAGATCAACTCTTTGTTACATCTATATTGAGATCTAGAATCTAGAATCTACTTTGTGAGAGGAGAGACGGCTAAGTACAGCATAAAGGCTAACGTGCTTGCACAAAAACCCTTTTCGGAAGCCGGTCAGTAACGTGATTGAGGCTTGCCTCAATTGTCGCACTTCGCCCAGTGTCAAGTGTTCCACTAAAGTCTTTAGAGTCGTCCTGTTTCACCAATCTCACCTTCGTGCAGCTTGGAGGGTCGTGTTGGTTAGATCTCAGCGACCCGATCTCGGCGAGGATGTTTGTTGCGCGGTGAGTGACCCAAGTGGTTCGAGTGGTGTCAGTGTTCTCAGCACGTGCCCTGGTTGGGACGCTGGGCTCCTTTGCTGTGCGGCCTTCGACGAACAAAGCACGTACTACTTGAAGAAACGGCAGGTGTACACATGTCAGCATTGCTGCGCGTCATCTTTTCATCTAAGTGTTGTGCTACAAGCAGTTATTGTGAGTGGCCAGTGGCACAGTTGGCATGCACCACATCATCCAAAAGAAAGAAAGTACAAGTGGGTGTCCACTCCTGCTTGCTTATTTCTTGCTGGTTCCTTGTGCCTATTGATCTCTTTTTCCCTTGCGGCATAGGTGCATCATAGAAGCCATAGATCCTGGTGATGGATGCACACCTTGGTTTCATTTGAAGTATAGGCGAGCAGTATAGGCGTATAGGCAAGCCACTCGTGGTTTCCACGCAGGAGGAAGAAATTCTCCGGGAACTTCACCTGTGCCGTGCTGATTGCACTCAGAGCACTGCTAAACAAGTCAACACGAGTCCCACCACATGGCGAAGGAGGCCTTGTACGCGAAAAGCAAGATGATCGTCTCCAAACTTTGCTTTCCGCCTTAAAAACCGCAGCATTGAGGTGATACATTCAAGCTACGCGTGAATGTCTTCCTGACAAATGGAGCACAAAGCAAAACGAAAATCATCATCCACCTGTGATTTGGTTCATCCGAGTGGATCATTGACCGTGACTTTCTGTTTCAAAAATGCACTCAATCATCCACCTGTAGCACCTTTGACCATGGCACCATGGCCCATCATGGCTTGACGGGGCACGATCCACATAGTCACCAAGGAAAAGGTAGTTGCTCTCCGGTGGAAAGCCGCCATACCTTGGAGAGCCGGGTGACCAGGTGGAAAGCCCCAGGCCAGGTGGTGAGAGATGAAAACACCAGGCCAGCGCCGGGTTAGACCACATGTGCTGTGTGGTAGATGGAGGAATGAGCTAATGAGATCTCAGATATGAAAACGAACATGAAAGAAGTATGAGTAGAGAGGAGTCAAGCAAGCTTTGAGACGCGACATGAGTCGACAGCTGAACTTGGAGCACAAATGAGCTTAGGAGAAACGAAAGCTTGAAAGCCTTGAGCTCAGGGGAAGGAGAAGGAGACTCATGCAGCATGACTCATGTGAGTAAACCACTCATCAAGGCAAACAGATACACAAACTAACTTCCTCTGTTTCCCTGGGAAAAAAGGCTATCCGTTCTCCACCTGTGCATGGTTTAGTGGGGAACCAAGCTGCTCCAAAAACAGGTGTTGCAGGATATCCACTTCTAGTAGTTACTACAAACTAGTTACTACTAGTAAGGCACTTGTTACTAGAAGCGATGCACTTGTTTCTAATAGCTTCTTGTTACTACTAGTAAGGCACTTGTTTCTAGTAGCGTGGCACTTGTTTCTAGTAGCGTGGCACTTGTTTCTAGTCGCGGCAAACCAAGCTGCTCAAAAAGGCGAAGGAGATCATGGTACTGGCCATGCACGTCGCCGCAAATCTTCAAAGGAGCTTCCAGCTCCTGCCGCTTGGACAAGCAGAACGGGTGAAGTCTTCCACCAGTCAGAGCGAAGTCTACAACCAACCCTGCCATCTTCCTCCGCACACCATTGGACCATGTGAGGTTTTCAGTATACTACAGGCATGCCCAGATAATGAGGCATCGATGGGCATACAGTTGCCTATGCTGACACTGACACCTGCCAATTGTGCCACAAACCCTGGCGACAGTCCAGCAAAGCACTCTGATCCAAGAAGATTGTTCGGACCTCAGATGGAAATTTAACAAACTGGCGATGTGTTTTAGTTTCAATACAGAGGTCTCCAGCCAATGGGTTTTAGGACTACTTCCCTTCTTCCAGAGGGTCTTTCGGATGTATCCCTGTTTTAATGCTGGCGGGTCATTCTTGCCGCTGTGTGAGGCACTGAATCATGCCGAAGCCGGCACCCATGGTGCGACTGATGGTCTCTGTTCTCACGGTGAGACCGTACATAGCGTCCCAAATCAGCAGTGACACTGTCAGCAGTGATCTCTGAGGTGGACTGCCCTCTTGTATCTCTTGATTTGCTTCTTCCAGAACCACTATGCTGGGAACTTTCAGCTTGCAAGCAAACCCTTCCCAAATCTCGGCTCCCTCAACCTCTTCCGCACATCCCTGCTAGTGACACATTCTCTCTACACGCCGGCTTCTTCTCTGGGAGCAGGGCAGAAGTGCAAAGGCTCTTCACTTGGTTCTCCGGAATCTGGACCAATTTACCAGGCTTGCCTCCGTTGCGCAGTGAGATGTAGAAGTTACCTCATCAACCCCGCATCTGAACAACAAAATGAATTTCTCGGTTCCCATTTCAGACATGCTAGCAGCTTAGCAGGCCGTAGCAGCGTAGCAAGTTACAAATAAGCCTCCTGCTTCTCATCTCAATTTGTCGTTCCTTGTGCCCACGTCAAGGCTACTGAACACTGAACACCCTTGAGCCCTTGAGCCCTCAAACCCCTGAGCGTCCCGGGGGGGCAACAAGGAAAGTGGCGAAGGTGGAGCATTGGCTCAGCTTCCGATTTCACCCGGCCTCCCTTCACTTCCAGACACTTGTCGACCACCTGTCCAGTGATCAGGGTTTGAGGGGAGTGGATGGCAAAGGGTGATGACGACTAGACAATAATGACTACCTGTTGGCAGCTGTTGGCAGCCCACAGGGCCGTGGTTGTCCAAAAATGGCTTGGTCCACTCTGTGTCTCTGTGTCTCCGATGGCAGGCTGTTGGGGGACGTCAAGAAAGAACGGCTCTCAGCTAAAAGAAGTCAGGGAACATTTTGAGGAGCCAGCTGGCAACTGCCGGCAAGTCAGTGAAGAAAGCCCTTGGGCATCCTGTACTTCTTCTAGGAGCCAGCAAGGTGATCGGTTAGCTACACACTGGCAGGAGCGCCAGCCGCCAAGCGGCTTTTTCCCAAGAGAATATCCCAATGCCGTCGCGTTTCTAGCTGGCAAACCTCCAACTCTTAGCTATGGGTTGGCTCTGTAATCTCGGACACCCAACTCTACACGCCACAAAAGAAGAAAAGAAGCAAACCCACAAGCAAATTAAGACACCAACTTCTGTTTAACCATGCAGCTTGTGGCATATGATAGGTGTGTATATATATACATGCATAGGCTGCATGGGTTTTCAGCTTGGTTCAGGAGGTGGTTTTTTGTGGGGCGGACCGTTTCATCGTTTCAGTGCAGCTTCCACTGCTGCAACCTGCTAGAGGCAGCTAGGCGTGCATCAAGTTTGATATGGCAGGAGCAGCCTTGACTGAGACTTCCCGTCTCAAATGGGACCGGGGCTTCACAAAATTGAACTCCACTCTACACCCTCTAGCACTAGGCTAGCAAATCAAGTCCTTCCAGGACTTGCCACACTGTATAGTAGCACCAGCTATGCTGCAGCTACAACAATCAGTGCTCCATGATAAGCAGTGGAAACCTCGTGCCAAAACAAGTAAACAGGAAAGGAAGAGCTAGATAAAGGAGGGAGAGTCAACAATAGATATAGAGAGGGAGGTGTAAGGAAAACCCGAGGCCAGAATGCAGCAAATCTGCTGCCCTCAAACCTGTGAAGAAACAGCATTGTACAAAAAACATTGAAAAAATACACCCCCCCTAGAAAAGACTAGACAAGTTCATAGTTGAAACTGAAAAAAGAAACACCGATTCATCTAAGAAAACACATACATCGACACCATTAATAAAAACGTAAATAGTACACAATGGCGAAATCGATGGAAAAAGTTGTTTTGGAAAGCCTGGGGCAATTAAGGTAAAGCGGGCTTGACATTGCAGGGCATCTTCGGATCATGCATGCGACAGAAATCTAGGTGTTAGAAGGCTTGATGAGATTCTTGGAACAAATCCCGCAACCCTACCAACACACGTCAACACAGAACGATCCACACCAGCATCCCCCTAATCGATCATGGAAACGAGTTGCATAGTTGCATTTCCACAAAACTACAACAAAGAGCAAACGACCACACAGAAGAAGGACGACAGCACGGGCACCTAATGTAAGCACAATTACAAATATATAAGCAAGCACTCTATTTTCTTCAGGTGTCAGCCTCGTCCACTTCAAGGTCTTCCGTCTTCTTCATCTCGGTCGAATTTCTCTGTGGCCGGGTGGCGGTAGACCTGCAGCTGCAGGTGCCAGGGGCCAATTGGAATACCAAAGCGTTGACGCTTGGAGGGTAATGGGAATGCTTAGAAACACTTGGAGAGAGTGAAAGAAATGAGGCAATGACACATGAGTCAAACTCACCATTGCTCATTGCCTCATTGCCAACTGTCCGCTTGACACACGAAAGGTTGAAGTATAGGATAGGTTGGAAGATGCAGCTGTGGGAATTGCCTCATACAACAGGTGCCAGTGGTTGTTTTACTGGGACTGTGGCTGCTGCGTTTTGATCAGATCATGCACAAGCTGAGGCTAGTGTTGCATTGCTGACAATTTGCAAAACCTTTCGCCACCTTGGCAGTTGTCTATAGTTGTCTAGGCATGCGACTACACAAGGGCAATACTTGTGTCACGATTCAGCGCACGGGAATCGCAACGAAACCACTTTCGTGGCACCAAAAGTAGAGTGCGCCTAATGACAACATGATGGCCATGTTGGCTCAAATGTGGCCATCTGAAGCGCATGTCAAGCTTGGTCAAACTTTGATGAAAGGATCAAGGCCTGACTTGCAGCCAGCGGGTGGCAGGGTGCAAGTGTGTTTGTGTGTGCGCGGGGCACGCCCTGAAGTCACGGGTGAGTCGCTAGTAATTTTTAAAGGACTGGAGCTGTAGCCAACGAAGACTTCCAGTGATGGGGTGTGCAAATGACCTGCAAGAACGGTTGATCACGATCTGATCTTTCTGGTGTGCTGCCATGGTGATTCATGTGGGTAAGCCATACTATCCATACTGTTACCAACCGACTTGAGGCCATTCTATTCGTAATGTCTAGCTGTACCTGGACTAGTCAGGCTTCTTTTTCACTGAGGTTTCTTCAGGGCTGTGGTATTCCGACCTTATGAACTTCCCGAGTGTGTCTGTGTGTGTGTGTGTGGGTCTGTAAGCCTTGTATCAAAGGACGTCTTCGCCAGTGTCAAAAGCCGGGGGGCTCGCTGCTCATGCAAGTACGCCCAACGAAGAGGGCTTGCGCTGAGCACTTGGTGCCTCTTGAGCTTGGAGGCTCAGAACTTTTGAAGAGTTGGAGCAGTTGAAGATGGTCCGTTTCAGCAAGTTTCATCTTATTACGTGTGTGTGTGTGCGCACCCTTGGAATGATAGGGAATGGTTTGGCTTTTGCTTGTTGTTGCTGCCGGCGTCATCAGTGACCCCAGCATTTTGGACCATTTTTGGAGATGGGTGCGCTTCACAGGGTGCACAAGCTAACAGCTCTCGAGTTCTTTCGTTGTGTTTGGTGGTTCTGTTGCGGCTGGTCAGGGCACCTTCCCCTAGTCAATTGGAAAGTTGGTTTTGGTTGACATTGACTAAGTTGACTCGTTGGGTGATTTGGCGACCAGAACCACTGGGCCGCTTGAGCATTGCGTGTTGGACACAGTTCTAGACCCAGATCGTCGGGCGTTGTGTTTTGGAGGCTTTGCTTCTGCTAGATTGTCATGAGCTCCCGAAGTCCACATGGGAAAAGTGTTGACATGTTGCAAAGAAAGTCTGTTCCACACGGTGGGGTACAGTACCCGCGCTCTTGGTCTTTGCGGATCGGTTCGGCATAGTGGCATGCGTGGAAGCTCCAGCAGAAAGAAGGCCTGGAGTTTGAGTTGGAGGACGCGGTGACGTATCCCTCAGACTCTAGAGTAATGATAGAGTATGCGTAGAGCTATCAGTTTCGAAGGAACTGTGGCAAAAGACTCCTTGGAAATCTATGGGCAATGCCTCTGACGTCGTCTGCCGGCTGAAGAGACGTGTGGGCCGAAAGTTGCAGACCTGGAACACGCTATTCTACTGGAATTCACGCGAGATATGTCCCCTGCAATCGTCAAAAAAACACACAAAAATTAACCTGTCAAACACTGAAACATGGAAAGAGTGATTTTCCCAGCAATTCCTACCACATCCACATTGTGCCGTGTGCTCAGGACTCCAGGGTCCTTAACATCGCCGGCACCTTGGTTTTTTAAAGAACGCGTAGTTCTGCCAAGCGAAGACAGTGTGATATCACTGGAGACGTCCAGTGACGTACCTGCGTTTTGACCTTCACTCCCCTCTTGGTCCCGTTCCTAACTAGAACAAGAACTCCGGCCTTTGCATCTGTTTGAGTCTGCAGTCATGCACAATGTCTTGGAGACTTTGGGGACTTTTGACCTTCTTGACTTGCTACTGGAACTGTAGCCTTTGGAGCTGTTACCTGTTTTACTCAGACATTTTGTTCACTTATTTAGGCTTCTGCTAGCCCCTAGGCATTTGGCAACCTTCGTACGTACTCTTATCTTGAGTTTGTGGACAACTGAGTCCAGTTTGCAAGGGCCGCCGGGGCGTGTTGAATCAAGCTGCAGTGGAAGTCAGCTACAAACTACCGTGTCCACCGCAATTGCATGAGTTAGATGGAAGGGCGCAATGTTTGCTCAAGCTTGCACCTGTTCTATCGCAATTGCACCTGTAGACCTGCAGCTTCCAGTTGTAATTCCACTGCGGCTACTGCAAAAAAACTGTTCATGCCACAAGAAGGCCAAGAAAAGGAACGCAGTCAACCCAACAATAGGCAAACATGACTTTCCAACCGTGCTGACGAAAGCGGAAAAATAGCAATCAGATACAATTAGCAAGTCTGCCCCTCATGCCATCTTCGCACCTTCTCTCCTTGTGGCTTGAAGAGCTTTTTTAGCTTGAAGCTTCCAGCGCTCGAGCCGCAGAAAGCTACAGACAGCAGAACTGATCATCACAGTCCTACCAACAGTATAGTGCACACATTGTATGCAAACAGGAGTGGCGCTTCCTTCTTGCTGTTCCTTGTTCCTGGCCCACTTCTCGTTGCAAATCCAAATCATAAAAAATCAAAACACCAGGACCAGAACTGCTGGATGAATCCTTGAGGGCGCTAATTCAGTCTCATGTCAATCAGCCAAGCACAGCACACCGCGTAGGAAAACGAAGATTCGAACGTGCTCCTGCAAGGGCAGAGATTAGCATCAAAACCACCATGCGTGCTAAAAATGTGCACACGGCTGGTTCTTTCACGGATGCGCAACAAGCAACAGTTCGCAGTGACCCAAATCCTCTGACCCCACAGCTTCTAAACTAGCTGTGGATTGAGCCAGACTTCTGCAACAACTACTTACCATGCAAACTGCCCACCTTCCCACCTCAGGGGACAAAAACAAGCCGTATACAAACTGCCCAGCTCCTCATGATCGGGCTCATCCACGTCCGATGGCTCCAAGAACCTCGACTTGAAGTCTGCACAAAGAGCTGAAGGTACAAGCCTAGCAGTTCCGCCAGGTTGTGAGTCACTCATTACAGAATAGGTTGAATACAGTAGGTCTCTTCATTGTCAAGTCTTCCACAGAAGCACTTCCATCTGGGGCCCCCTTGCACTTCTAAAGGAGCTCCTTGAATCTTGGCACCTGCACTGGTGAGTAAAAATCTGAAACTGTGCTTGGGCCAAAATCCGACACAAGGGAGTAGGCTGGCAAGAAGCCAATCATGGGGCCCATGGGGTGCAAGGGCAACAGGCTGCCCCAATCGCTTCTACAACTCTTTGCTCTTCGTCCCCAGAAATTTTGTTCTGAGGCAGCCTGATCACAGTGTGCTCATGACTGCCACCATGACATCATCGCAGCCATGGTCCGAAAGGATAAACGAAACGCGCACAACAAGCATGTGTTAACACGAAGTAGTGGGGCCAAAAGTCATGTCGTCATTTTCACCTGATCATCTCACACAGTTCGACCAAAACGATCACACATTACCGCGCCAAGGTCATCAGCATGCCCAAAGATGGTAAAGTGAGAACTCGACTTGAGAAGTGATACATCCCCGATGCTCAAATGCTGTGATATCAAAGTCTGAGGGGCTTCTGAGGAATTGCCAACAGTCACCACAGGCATCTAAAACGAGGATTGGCAAGCAAAGTGCAATCGAAAAAGCAATGGAAGTACAGTATATTTGACAACGCAAATCACCAAAGCTATAGCAGCTAAAGCAGCTTCGACCACTGGCAGCTGAACACAAGCACTACACTCATACCCTTCAAAAGCGCTCCACTCAACTTTGTCAATTGAAACGTGAAAGGCCGTCCGCTATCTCAGCATCTTTTGTGTCCATATTGCAGTAATGTTGCAACACCTCCTTGGCTACGAATGCCAAAGCAGTATCTTTCGGATGTGGCTGCTCTGTATTTTGTGTGCGGCGCCGCGCTGGGCGGTGGCACGCACGAAATGGTTGGCCCACAGGCAGTGACCTAGGGACCTAGATATAGAAATATATATATATGTATGTATGTGTGTGAAATATATATATATATATATACATTATATACATATACATTATATACATATATATATATACACACCGTATAGTATATCAACAAAAGTCATGACTCGTGACCAGGGAATGCACATACGGCACCGCTCATTTCACTTTTGGAGGCAAGGCAATTTTCATTTTTGCGAACGCTGACAGGTCCTGAGGTTGCGACATCGCTGCTTCAGTGGCTCCAGACTTGGGAAAAAGCGAATTTCAAAAGGCAATCCCAAAATGCTGCCCCATCCTAGCCACTTCCTATGTAAAAACTGTTCCCAACCACAAAAACTGGGGAAACATCGGAAACATCCACTGCTTCCGCCGGAACTTCACCACTCATCCAGACCCGGCGGCAGCATCCCATGGCATTCTGAGTCGCAGGCAGCTGCTCAGCCGAGGTCAATCTGAGTCACCGAACCATCAACGACGCCGTCACCCACGTGGCCCGACGGTCGGTCCACGGTGGCATTCTTCGGCTCCGTTTCGGATGGAAAGTGATCAATGAAAAAAGTGCTGTGCGTTTGTTCCTAGTAGCTTCTTGTTACTACTAGTAAGGCACTTGTTACTAGTAGCGATGCACTTGTTCCTAATAGCTTCTTGTTACTACTAGTAAAGTCAATGCTTTCGTCCGATCCACTTCGGTGAGAACGACCATTCCGCCCAGACCTTCGGCCAGAGAACTGGCAAACGCGGCCACCCCAGCTTCTGGCCTTGGTCGTGGAATGGGAGTGAAACGGCTAAGCGGCTGAGTGCAACATCGTTGAAAAACATGTTGACTCTTTGGTTGAAGATTCTACTGCTTGTCAGCTTCTACTCTATGTCTGGAATATCACCTGCCCAGGTGTCCGCCAGATCCATTCCCCTGGCTGGCTTTAGAAGTTCTTCGAGTGGTTTCAGGGCCGATGGCACAAGGGGCCCCAAGTTCGGTGGTTTGTATGGACCCCCACATGGTGGACATCCTGGGCTCTGTGCCATCTACTCCTGAAACCACTGTATATAGATTCTATTTTTGAAGGAAGGTGTGTAGCATCCCAATCAACGAAAGAACATTATGGTCACTTACATTGAAAGAGAGATGAAGCTCCTCCATCACCCGTCTATGAAACTCTTTAAGCAACCTCTTTTTTCCTAGTGTCGACCTGGCACGCACCAGAAGAAAAAAACCTTGAGTGCTGGCGGCCGGATTCCCTCTCAGTGAGGATAATATCCGCTGTCTGAAATTGTCTCACCTAGTCATTGAATGGGCTTTGATTGACAACTGGCAGGCTGCATTCCAATTCTTGCGATAACCAAGAGAGCCTTTGACGTTCTGACACATTCATTGCGTGAAATGGGGAGTTGGGCTCAAAGCCGATTTCAGCAGCCGCCCAGCAACTCAAGGGAGTAACTGCCGGAGACGGAATCGACAAAGGAAAGCACTCGCAATAGCTTCGGCACGCAGGTGCGCGAAGTGTTTCAGGGATGTTGGCAAATCCGCTTGCAGTGGATATTCCCTAGTCTTCGTAGTTCCCGGAGATGTATTGTCCCTCCCATGCTCCTGTCTACCACAACCAGTCAACAAGCAATATGCGCCTGTCTTTGAGAACGACTCATGTACCCACTTGCTGTCATTCGTGTCAGACTTCCAGAAAGTCCGTGCCAAGTACTTGAACATCCAACAGTTCGAGCGGTTTCTGGTCGTCAACCATGCCCACACACTTCTCTTATCATGAACAAATCGCGCGAATGATTTAGTAGTATGTGAGAAAAACGCACCCAGTCTGCTCCGCATATACGATCAAAGTATATATATAATTGGTGCCATGACGTGTGAGCTACATTCCTGACTCGTTTCTTGGCTTCTGCGCGCCATGGCTTGAAAAGAGTTGCGAGGAAGCGAACTCAGAAATATGTGCCTTGCGCCTTTCTCTGTTTTGAGGCTATCTTGAGCTTCCAGCACCATGCCATGGGAACGGATTTTTCATCTTCTGATCTTTCTGTTTTTCATCAAGGCACATGCTGTGAAGCTTTGGAGTCGCCCGGAGCCAGGGCTGTACCAGACCCAGATTCAAGGGTCAGCTGTCAGCACGACCTTCAGTGGTTTCAGATGCATTCCTACCGTCGACTTTGACATTCTTCATTAACTTCGATCCGCATCTGTTCGGCATTCCTTCTGCAGATCAACCAAGTCGACATCCCGACTCGCCGCAGCAGAGTGGAAGCGCTCTGTCCAATTGCATCCGGCTGCATCTTCACCGGAAGCCTCCTAGTATCCGAAGTGTCCTTTGTGTCACGTTATGCAAGTCCTGCCGAATTATCGCTAAACTTGAGCCTTCACCTTCACCAGAGTTTGGGTGCGCTTGCCAAGCTACGTGAAGTCCCGCTTGTCGTGTTTGTTGTCGAGGGGGGCCAAGGTATCGCAACACGTGCAGGAAGGGAATATGGACATTACTGACAGCAACTGAACCTCTTAAATATAGTTGTTTATGAATATATTTCTATATGATATTCATTCCCACCTGGAAACCCAAACAACCAGAAAGAAATGGATGTTTCCCCAAGCAGCCATTTCCTATGTAAAGTAAAGGATCTCAATTGTCATATTGGAACAATCATTTGTTTCTGGTTGTTTGGGTTTCCAGGCAAATTTCTAGTCTTCACAGGCAGGACACTGGTGTTTGAATCATCGTCTTGATTGGTGATTGGTGGGGGGGCCCTCAACAAATTCTCAGTCATCGCTAGCAGCTTGGGCTCAAAGCTCAGCATGATCAAAGGAAGTTCGGTTGGTTGTAAAGTGCAGTTTCAAGTTATATAATTATATACGACTTCACGTTCCCACTGCTCTGCTGCGGCACCAGCGTCAGTGATCGCTTCTGCACAGCCACACTTCAGTGCAGTGACCTCATGCTTTCCTTAGAAGCCCTGACTAGAAAGTAAAAGCTCAACAATGTGTTGCACACTTGTTGACGAGGCCCCACTACCATCATTTTATTGACATTACACGTTTGCACCGGATCCTCTCTAGCTCGCAATACTGCACTTATTCTTGTGGCCTGTTCAATCCCACAAAGCCATCAAAGGAAACAAATGAAACATAATTAAAAGGATAGTCACTCGAATACAAACAGCCGCGTCTTGGAGCGAAACCCACCTTTCTATGATTGGTTAGGGAACCCACATGAACAGCGAGGGCATCAATCTTAAAGTGGCGGTATGGCACAAAAGGTTCACCCTGTAATGACATCTGGGGTGAATGTGGTTGCCACCGGCTGCGCAAGTTGTGAGCGATCACATGAAGGCACGCTATCCTGCCACTGAACTCACGCAGTTCAGTGAAACACGAGTCAGCTGAACTGTGGAGCGGCATTCCGTGCGCAAACGCAAAGCCGGACTTTCCAGCTTGTTCAAAGCACCAGCTGAGTGTAGCAAGAATGCATCAAAGTATATAAATGTATATAAATGTCCTTTCACTCTGCTTGGGCGTTCAGGGCACTCGTCCAAGTTGGCCTTGAAGTCTTAAATGTTCGCGCCAGCCGCCGGTTTCTTCGAGCAATGTGCTGCAGCATTGGTCGTGGCTGCCTGTCCTTTTTGCATCCTACGAGAGCTTCGCTCATGACATGGAGAGCTTGGTGACATCAGGCGGGGTCAAGGCATTCGGTGCGCCATAAGCGCAAACCTTAGCCTTGGAGTTTCGTGCATGGCTCACAGCAACAATTGTTTCTTCTATCAATTTGGTAAATCGGTGTCAAAAGCTTCAAAAAGAATGATGCTACACTTGGCAAATCATGTCATGGTGTGGCGCGGTTGCCAAAGCGAATCGACAATTTTTTGTGAGCCCATCCTGCAACAACCAGATGTTGCGGAATCTGGGGCGTGCTCAGTGACTGTGCTCTATGTACAGCATGGGGTGCTATTCACTGGTTGCTAGTCTCGGCCAGCCTCAATTGAACGATGCATTGAAAAATCCTGTTGCCTTCAAATCACAGTGAGAGCTATATATCATCTCACCAACTGGTCAGAATCTTAGCTTCCAAACGCGGGGTGATCTTACACAACAAGGCACAAGCAACCCACAAGCACAGGCAAGGCAAAATGCATGCACACAGCACGCATGCGCTGAAGAATATCCACCCAACCTTGATATCGAGAGGCGCCTCAGACGGTTGTGAAGATTTGAAGTCCTGGCCCACCCACCATCAGCCCGCCTGTCCACAAGCCATCGCCCACCACCTGTCAATTCCCAGACCCATATAAAGTTGCATTACCAAACATAACACAAAGCGGTGTCAAACCTGTTAGCGGGTACGATGCAAGCAGGTGAAGGCTCTTCAAACTCGAACTCAGTTTGTGTTGGGATAAATTCGGGAGAGATCCCAAACTGCTATCTGCGTATCGTACGGAAAGGACTGTTCGTCATCACATCTAAAGGATGAGAGTCAGACGTTCTGCAATTCCTTGCTCTTGGCGGGAATGTGCAGTGATGACTTATGATATTTGGCCAAAGCAAAGGAAAGGTTCGGGTCCCTCTGATGAGCAAGGTAACTATGCAGTGGCTGCACACTGAGCCAGTGTAGATTTGACTTACACATAGGAGCATCAGGGAGCAGCCCGAGACTCTAGTCTAGAGTCTAGACAATGCAATCATGACAGGACATTGTCTGTTCGTTCCGTGAGCGTGCGAGTGTCTCTGTGTGTGTGTGTGAGTTCTGTGGGCGTCTTGGTTCCGATGTGGCCGCTACGCCATTGTGGACCAATGCAAAACACATTTTGGATCATTTTGGCTTCACGGAGGGGATGCACAAAGCGTGCAACATGACGCTTGAAGGATCTTTTTGGAAGGACCTTAATCTGCTGCTCAAATGAATGCCAAAACCAAAGTAGTTCAGTCGCAGTCTCATTGGCTTGATTTTGAGCACTGACTGAGGGCCGGGCAAATCCTACGTTCTACTGTCATGCACCAAAAAACAGGGACCAACGGACAGCCATACGATCAATGGAGGGCAGCTTGCTTGCCTTTAGTCCATGGCTGTGATACCGACTCACGCATAAAATTTACTTCCATGTATGCCAGCAAATTGGACAATCGAAAACCAAATGCACTTGGCAAGCCACTCTCCATCAAACGTACTACCTTCCGGATGCTCCTCCCCACATCAACAATAGAATGTCATCCTGCTGCCTGTGATGGATTTTTCGGGTTTGGTCTAGGCACGACAGAAAAGCAAGATCCTATAGAGGAGCAAGTGGAAGCACTGACACAAATATCTCGCAGGAAGCCGCGATGATCGGCATAGCAGAGGCCCCAACCAAGCAAGGAGTTTGCATCTAGTACAGAAGTCAACAAATCCGTCAGTGGTGTTGTGGTCTATGTAGGCGATGTTCTATCTTCCTCTGCTTGCCTTGGATCAATCTATCACTACGGTCAGCGTCAAGCGCTTCCAGCGAAGCTCGTTCAGGAAAAGCATGGAGAGAGGAGAAATCAGTTCTGCAAAAACTGTCGAGGTCCGATCTTTTCTGTGACCCCCAACCGCACGAAAGCTTTTGCCCGAACGGCTTCACAAAGGCTTTGCCCCAGTCATGGGATCCGCAAGCGGACGTCTTGAATCGCCATCACAAGCTGCTCCCAAACAGCGGGGCCTCGACTGTCCTCCAAAAAAGTTCTTTAACGGTTACACATGCTACAACATAATTGCCCGTCTCTGGATAACATGGCTCGCAACTGCTACCAGGCTACCAAAAACAATGAAAAGAGACGCGCGGCTGCAAATCCGCCCAGCAGGTGTGGGCCAAACACATACCCGGTGAAATACGCTGATGGTACTTTCCACCCATCGATCCTGTCAACAGTTGCTGTATGTGGCATATTCTTCCCTCTGCGGCCGTAGAAAGCTGAACTCAAACAGAAAACGCTGCATCAAAGGGAATTTAACGGAAATCAGTATATCACCGTAAAGAATGTCATACCAAGTCACGAATTCACAAGGTGAAAAAGAAATGTCGTATATCAGTCTGGTTTCTCTCAGTTTGCAAAGCCCAAACTTAACGCCTTGCGCTTTGGGGCTGAAACCAGACGTGCTGGAGGGAATGCATAAACAGCCCGCGACATATTCTTGATTACTTTCTCTCACTCTCACTCTCACTATGACCTTCAGCAAATAAGCTTGGACATCGGTGGATGAAACATACCATCCAAGCCCAACTTGGTGAGTAACAGCACCCCGAGGCAAAGTTCCAAGGCAGCGCACTTGATTTGGTTGTAAACATGTTCAGTAAGCATGTGAGTATCGTTGAGCATCTCCGTCATTGAGTATGTTGGACAATGTTAGCTGTGAATGGGTGAGTCGTTCCTTCTCTTGTTCTAGTGCTTCCTTTTGTGGCGCCACCTTTGAAGCAAGGCTTGTCAAGTTGACACGGCGGGTATGGACGTCGATTCACCAGGCACAACTCAGATCCTTGGCAGAACCGGTGGAAACCGACCGCGTTGCGAATGGCTCCGAGAGGGCGGCAAAGCTGTCAAGGCGACCGTGTTCGAGCATTTTTGGCCGCTACTCGTGATTTTTTGTGCAGCAAAGTTAGTTGCAAAATCGTTCAGAAAGCACACCGGATAAGACATTTGGCCAAATAGCATAGCTACATCGAGGTACAAGAGAAGCTTTGTGCCAAACAAACCCATCTACCGTCATCTACCTGTCCAATGCCTTCTTGAGCTTGCATCTGCAATGTCATCAGCCATGCAGTGCAACACACAGTCTCCCTGGATTGCTCCCTGGATGGCCCAGTTGCTGAAATTTGTTTCTGACATCCTGCCATGAGCCCGTGGTTAGGGCGAGGCAAAGCAGGATTGGAGGTAAATATATACAATAAACAATGGTGAACCGTCATCTCTCTTTCACGCCGGAATGCTTCAAGGATTCGAGCGTTCGTCAGCAACATGGTTAAAATCTTGCAAATCTCCCAAATAGTGTCCTTCACATTGGGATCTTGCTAGGTCTTACATTTGTCTTGGGTGCATCGGCACAGCCCCGTGGCACCTGGTTCATCGAGAAGGGGCTGGCCGAATTCCTCGCTGTCTCGAATGCAGGCAAAGCATGTAATCTCTGAGTGCCGGCGTGCCCCAAGCAACAGGCACACTTGAAACAGACTCTCTGGCTGTATGGTTTGGGAGCCAAGGCACCAAAAAGCTGCTGCTGGCATCCTTAGTGCAATGTGATGCAACGATGTTTGATGACATCTGCTGACCAAATCAGTTCCTTTACACGCTCTCGTCTACAAACACGGCTCTCTCTCTCTCTCTCTCTTTCTCTCTCTTTCTCTCTCTTTCTCTCTCTCTCTCTCTCTCTCTCTCTCTCCCTCTCGTCCGTATTCACATCGGTTCGTGCACGGGGCTGCTGTCAAGCAGGGCCTACTCATATATGGCATGCATAAACCAACATCAGAATTGAACCAATGAGAACCTCTGCCTGGCAATCTGCTTCATAGCGAGAGTCTTTAAGCAGGTTCAGTTGACCTAAGCGGCCTGCATCTGCAATTTGGGGTGTTCATTCTTGAAGGCAATTAGGGTGTTCCTAGAGGTTCCGTCCCAGCGCGCAGCTTGCTGTCCGCAAACCATGCAAGTTCCTCCTCACACACGGTAGATATAAAAGGCACCCTAAACCCCTTTTTGTTCTTCTCCTATTTATGCAACCGCCTGCGGTGAACTCTCTGCAAAGTCACGGCAGTCCACCATGCAGTGCTGGAACAGGAGGTCCCTGGGAGAAGGCCTTGAAGAGGAGATGAAAACGACCAAACATGATCCATTATTAGTCTAGGCCGGTATATAGTCTTTATAACCTTTCGGATAAGGGTCACGCTTCGCATGACACATCACTTGCATCATTTGAGATGAAGGAAAATGTGTTCTCAATGTTTGGAGCAGCATCTGCCGCCAGCACGTCCACGTTTGCGGTGGTGCTGGGAGGTTGGATGAAACTCACCCACGATCACTGCTTAGGAGCTGGTTTTAAGTGGAACATTTCTAGCAAGACATCCTTCCCACTACTCCAGTGCTTCAGCGACCATGGTCTGCTCTCGGTTTTGTTTCCGCGGCTCTCGTTTTTGATCAACTCGTTGCATGAATGTCAAGAAGGCATCTCAGAGGCATTCCATGAGGATCCATGGAAAGTGTCTGGTTTCATGTCTCGTTGCATTGTCTGGTGTGCTTCGCATCCGCAAAAAAAACTGGCATTCCATGCAGAAGGTTTCTGCTCTGAGGCTCCTGACATGCCACGGCGCTGGTGGCTGTGTGGACCTAAGGAGTCGATAGAATACGCACCGCACCGTGCGTGCAGATTGTGTAGAATAGGCGGCACCGAGCCGACAGCGACAAAGAACAATCACGGCTGTCCTCCCAGAAAAAAGAATCAGAAATAGATGTCCTCAGATTTTTTCTCCCAGCTGCAAGTCGGCACCTGATCCTTGAAACGATTCGATGCCCCTCAGCCCAGCTGAGTGCCCGAGCAAGGCAGTGTAGTAGGCAGAGTTGGCTTGGTATTGCCATGCAGCAGCCTGCCACCTACATGGATCACAGCAAATCCAAATCTGCAAGCATCCCGCCAGTCTCGCCAGTCCATGGTGGCCAGAACTGCACATAGATTTGGGACAAAGCAAGCAGAAAGCAGCGCTTAAGAGGAGCCATCCACGAATTGAGCAACTCTGGCTGAATCTTGAAGCCTTGGCCCTTCAACCCATTGATCTCCACGCTTTGATGACCATGTTAATATTGAACAAGCCTAAGGATCTGAGCATTGCCTGGGAACTCCTGCTAATTCCAGGTCCAAGGTAGACGCAAGGTGTTCAGCATTGCAGTATATGTATTAAGAAAGTACTCTGGAGGGGCATCTCTGAGGTTTCGAGTAGACTCCCTCGGACCAATCTTTTGAGGATGCCAACTGTCAAACCTAGTTGCCGATCATTCACAGCACCCCAATAGAAAAAAGGCGTATTGCCCCTTCAGCACCTTGCTTGTTGAGCCATCTCCCAGCCTGGGCGATTCCGGGTCAAACTGGTGCTGTGAGGCCCAAAAAGTACCAGGACAATTGCAAACCTCTCCACCAGATTGAAACAGGACCCTGAACCCATTTGTGCTGTGGTTGGATTTCGGGCCTTTTGATCCCAGAGATGTGTATCATTGGCATGACCTTCGTGCTAGGGACGATGCACTGCGCGTCCCACTGCTCTTGCCACTGCCATGCATCCCATTTCCTGGCATGACGAAGCACTTGCTTGCAGGCCAGCCAGCATCTTCCCGAAGTGAATAATCCGAACTTAGCATGAGCACGGCTGGATTAAAAAACATGCAAAAAAATACGTATCTCCCGAGAGTTGTCCGAGTGGGTGACAACATCCCAGGCCTGTCTGTGGTTTGAAAACCTCAGACCAAAGGCGGGAGAAAAAGTCGCAAGTCCAGTCTAGTCTTACGCACGAGACCGTTTTGCAAAGTCAGCCTTTAAGGGAGCAAAACATCCCACCAACATCTTGCAGTCCTTCCAGAAACTACCATTCGTAGTAAGGCTTAGTAAGCCACCCTTGGGCGCCCGGCAATTCGTTCCCATTGCCATGATGCAAAGGAAGAGGTTCAGAGTCAGCAAGGCATCGCTGCCAGCCTGACACCAAAAACCGCTGCCAGTTTGACGTCGCCTGGGACACAAATTCACCAACCCCTGCAGCCGAGCAGCTGTGTGGGACCGTCCGTAGCGTTGCACGGCAAAATACCTAGCCCAGGCATCCAAGGAGCCAGAAGGCAGCACATCACGAAGCTCGTGGTGCCGTCGGCCTGAGCTGAAACTGTTTCGGCCGTCAATCCAGGCCTGCGCGGCTTGAACAAATCAAGATTTATTTGATGGAAGAAGTGCGCAGCCGCAGGTGAGACCACCTTTCGCTGTTAATGAAGAAAGAATGGAGGAAGATGCGAGCTCTCGACAACTTGATTGGGTCACGTTTCGAAAATTCATCAAAGAAACAGAAACAGATTGGGTCACGTGAAGAAACAGACCGACGGTGACCAGGTGTCCGCGCAGAAAATACTGAGCTGCACATCAAAGGAGTGATAGTCTCTGGGCAGGGGCTGGCCAGATGTTAAAAGCCTGGGCATGGATTGTTCACATCTGCAGTGAAATCTGGGGGGGTGAAATGCTGACAGCATAGGTGGCAGTCAGCTCAACCCATCCCTAACGATCCAGCCGCAGCTCGACTCACTGCCAGACCGCCACTGGCTGAGGCTTCTGCTTAAGTAGGTAGGCCAAATCATACGAACCTGCCCAGTTGAAAGAGCTAGCATGGTAAGAACACATCTCCACAAAACTGCGCAGTCACAAACCTCTCAAGAACCTCTCTGGTCTGCTTCTGGCCTGCGAAAGTCACCCAGCTTGGGGCGCGCTGCCCCACCAGCGAGGAATTTGCCAGCTTCCGGCCCAAGACGACTCGGGCAGCGTGGAGCATGCAACAACTGGGAACGAAGGGCATCCCTACTAGGAACAAGAAGCTACTAGCTCCTGGCATTGCTACTAAGTAGCAAGAATGCTAGTAGTAGCAAGGTTAATTTTTGGCATCAAATTGAAATGTGTGCGACGACACAATACTCGACTTGTTCACAACACGGATTTATGTGGATTCAAGTGGACTCGCTTGGACCACCTGGGTCAATGCCTTCCTTCTTGTGGCGCGGAAAGTCAAGCCCGGCCTGCAGCCGCGCCCCGAGCCGCCCGCGAACGAGCGAAAACGAGCGAACGAGCTGCCGTTGTATGGAAGAGGTACAGGACTGTATGGGAAGGCGTCAACCGCCGGACAAGAGGCTAAAGGACATCCAGTTCTTTTCAGGCCCAGGACCAAAAAGGAACATACAAGAAGTTCAAGCTAGAAAAACCTACGGAGGGGGAGCCAACTTGCCCAGACTTGGCTTCAAGCACTCAGTGGTCCAGCACATCCTCTCAGCTGCACCCGCTGAGGCAGCGGGCCGCTCGCAAGAATTGCATGGACTTCTCGGTGTGAAGATCGACCTCGCAAGCTTCGTTTGAACATGCAGAAAAATATCACGTGTATACCTACAGTAACATTTCTTGGCACAACACCCAATTGAAGCCCTTTAGGACATTCAACTCATGTAAGCAAGAATGATTGTCGGCATTCTATGGCTAGAGTGTGCCGCCGGAAGCCAGGCTTGGCGTCAAGTGGCCTCGATGTCAAACCTTAGCTAATTGGAATGAGTCAAGCGAGTCGAGCGGTTCCAATCAAATTTGACTGCTCGGTCCGAGAGCCGGTGCATCCGTGACAAGCATTCTCGGTCCATTGGGAATTTACTGGTACAGGTACTGAGGTACTGCCCTTTGCACTAAACACTTGAATTGCTCAAAATGCTCACGCTGAGGCACTTCAAATTGAAGCTCCAAGCACCTCGCACCGTGCCATCGGCATCCGCCACCGCTGCCCCCAACTGAATGAGGCGCAAACGGTCTACATTTTCACCTCGGTATCAGAACAAAGCTTTTCAGCTCAAGTACACTGCACATGAAGAAACGGCGGCAGCAGCAACAGCAACAAAGAACAACAGGGCCACAGCCATCCAGACAGCCAAGCCCGCACACCACACTCTTCCAATCACAGCAGGCAACCACACACGAGATAATTACAATGGCCACGTTTGCCTGTTTGCCCCACACAGCCTCCGGGACTCTCATCAAAACACTTTCTGGCGGGGCGTGATCTGGCTTTCCTCCTCCCCTTACTGGCAAATTCAATTTTTTGTCCCACAAGTCCAGTAGCAGAACATCTCCCCTCAGAAATTTGCAACCCTCCATGCACCAAGTCTTGGCACATTACAACAGAAATCGCATGAAAACCCTTCTCGCTACTACTAACAAGTGCATTACTACTAGTGACAAGAAGCTTGTGCTTCAAAATGCACGTCAAATCCCTGTCCGGAAAACCCCATTTTGGTCGCCCTGCGCACAGTCTGGTACCTCGCAGCCCGCGCACAGATGCGCGGCTCCTGACCAGTCACGGTCACTTTCCGACCATGTTGGAACAGGAGAATGTAAAAAATGCACTGTGAATCTCTGCAGGCAGATCAACCGCTGCCGTTTTCCAGTTCAGGCTTTGTGGGAAGACACTTAGCCAAATGACATTCACCAGGCTGGCTTGAAAAAATGCTGTTTTTTAGCCTGACCATCCGCACGGACCCGATATTTTTGGGGTCGCTGGGGTTAGTCTTGGTTTGTGCCATTGGTCCTAGTGGCAAAAATTATCGACTTCTTGGGTGTTTCAAAACCTAGCTAAATAGCTACTCAAAAGCGGTGTAACTTTGACCAGTAGGAAACTCCTTATGTGCAAATGTATATGTGTGAGTAAGTATGTGTATGTATGTGTATATGTATATATATATATGTTTGTGTTTATACATCCGCGTGTGTGTATATATGCATATACTACTGGTAGTATATATATGTATATATGATATATGTATATTCACACCAGCTAACAGGCTTGTTAAATACTTGCTGCGTCTTGTGTGATCCCGCGCCTGACGTAGAAAACCTGGAAATTCCATGTCAATAGCGAGAATCGCATTACCGCTGGCATCTCCAGACGCAGCTGCCAATAGATTATTAAACCTGGCAACAATTCCAGGTTGCACATGGCAGCCACAGAATGACAACACATTCAAGCTACAAGCAAAGAACTCAAGTTTCTGTTTCGTCAGCGCTTTGTCTTACCAAGCGGCTCATGGTCGAGGTTCCAGTTGTACACCTGTTGGGTGACAAGTCGACAAGCTCTGGCATTCGAGTCGGGTCAGGCTTCCCTGCAATTAGAACACGCACAGCATTGGCCTCAATGATGTGCTTTTCAGGATTGATAGTTGGTGTATTTGGAGGAGAAGCCTCATGCTCCGATGCCTCAAATGAGCGAAAGCAAAGTAACCAAACACGATTGGATGATGGCCACGAAACATCAACCAGAGCTCTCACACAGTCACAGAAACTTCAAAGTGGTCACGACATTCCATCATCATTCCTACTTTCCGATGTGACGCAGGACAGCTTGCCCACACAGATCCAACGGGCTGAGTCGTGCGGTCCCATACTACTCATGGAAAGGTGCCAAGGTCGACTTGTCTGGCGCCATCTCCTTTGACACCTGCCAAAGCTCTGCGACCAAAAGGAACTAAGAACAGCCAGAATGTGCCAGAATGCATGAATGTCGCGAGAAGTATTGTGGGCCGCGTGCCTGTCGCAGCAGGGTGACAGGCGCAGCCTTTAAGGCGCGCGCGCGAGGCAGGCGACTCTTGTGGCCTCCCCTATGGGCCGAAACTGGCTGCGAGCCGAAACAGGCACACAAATAGTCTGTGGGTGGGTAGGTCGTGACCAGTAGGAAGCCAACAAGCAAGTATACAAGTAGATTTAAGATGATTTAATTCGCCAGTATGTCGTTAAGCTGTAAGTATATATATATATATAAGTAACGGCTGCCTTCTTCGCTGCTCCCCCCCCGCCCGAGGCGGGTCGGGGGGAGCTTCCTTGAAGGACCTCTTGCCTTTGGACCGCATGAGAGACGTTGGTCTCCTAGTAGCTTCTTGTTCCTAGTAGTGAGGCCAGGAGCTACTAGTGGCGTCCTTGCTCCTAGCAGTAAGTCCAGGAGCCCCTAGTAGCTTCTTGTCACTAGTAGCTTCTTGCTCCTAGTAGTGAGGTCAGGAGCCCCTAGTAGCGTCCTTGCTCCTAGTAGCGATGTCCTTTGCTCCTAGTAGCTTCTGGCATTTCTTCTTCATTGCAATCAGAGACGTTGGATGACGTTGGTCTGACAAACACACTGAACAACCGAAAAAGCACCCCACGATTTCCACGCTCTGAGGTGCGGATGAGATTTCAAGTTGGCTGCGGAGGTGATTCCAAGTCCAAACTTTAGCCTAAACCTCTTTGGGCAAAACTTCAGGAGAACTGTTACAGTGGAAATGGAGACAAAGAAAGTTCTTCTGGCCAGTATAGGGGGAACCTGCTTCATTCAATTGTTGCAGGCCCTTTCACTGGAAGTAGAGCGGCCGATTTTGTCCAAGGGGGGGGTCTTCCGCCAACCCCCCTTGCAACATCTTGCAACTGGGGTGTGGACAAACTCTTCCTCAAAAAGGCCCTTCATCCTTGGTCAAAAGTCGTGTGACCATCCTAGACCAAACACAGGCCACATAGGATTATGTGAATTTGCAATCTCCTGCCAGCCTCCTAGCCCATGTCCAACAAAATGGAAGTATCGGAAGTAGCACTTCTTGAGGTTTTGTGAGGCTTGAAGCTGCAAGAGCGTACTCGCAAGCGCATGCCGTGCTGACCCTCAAGGATTCAAATCCCACGAGGAAGCCACCAGTGTCCACCATGGCCCATGAGTGTCACGAACTATGCTCAAATCAACCCGAGTGGTACAGGCTGGGCTGATGACTCTTCTGTTCCCAGGCCAAGTGTGCTTCGAACCTCGCGGCATGCAAGTGCTTTGGGTGCTTTGGTTGCTGAAACGTTGCGCATATATGGAAAAAAACATGAGAAGGGCTGGATTGGAGGTCAATCTGTTTCCCGCCTCGTCTATGGAAGGCATTCGGTCCTCTCAGATTCCGGCAGGGTTTCTCATCAAGTCAAGAACGCCATATGAAATTCCAGCCGACGCTGAGATGAAGCAAAAGCAACTCTTCTTCAATCCTCACTCACTGGAACGCCCAAAAAGGCCGCAAGAGCCGGAAAGTCAGAGTCCAAAATGACAGTGATGGCATTGTCCCTGGGCGCATCAACTGGTTTGAAGGCGAACAGGCGAAAGGGCGATTTGGATTTTAAAAGCACGGTCACGAACATCATGTTCTAACGCCACCCTGAACCAGCAGTTGCTAGGCCCATTTGCTGGTCAACAATGGCATTGCCAAATGCAGGCTGCAATTCATCCTTTGCATGAATCCCCCGAAAGCTGCTGGTTCGAATCCGGGTTCGGGCCGGTCCGAACCTCTGGGCCCCTCTGGGCGCTGGGCACGACTTCATCCCCAAGCTCTTCACTACTGGGCGGCAGGTTGAAGAGAGAGAACACCTGCCGGCCCAACATTGGAAGAAGAGCTTCACACTAAGCAGCAAAATCATATGATGAAAACACTTTTGAAAATGAACCGTGCAAAACCAAGACGTGAGGATACATGGCCACATCGTACAAACGATTTTTACAATACTCGACAACGCTAACGATGACCTTCTACACCTGTCCTGCTGGCAAGCTGTCTTGAAAAAGAGTTGCAACTGGGAATGAGCTGGGATGCTTGGACTGCCTTTGGAATATCCTCACCAACTGCAGCCTTGTCCTCCGTGTCTGCCTGTGAGGCTGCGAGCACTTCAAGTCCATGAGTGAACTGCTAAGTTTACTTCAGAAGCTGGCGGGCACTTAGACATGTGTGCATTCGAGCACTTCTCACCCATGCCAGAGCTTTATCAATTGTATAAGAGGTTTCACCCTCCATGTCGAGTTCAAATTGGCACTTGAAACTTGAAACGAAGAGAAAGCCAAGCCATCACTTCGCGTGAAACCAAAGCTACACAGCACAAACTGCAAGCTTTAAAAGAAGTGGCACTTCCACGATCTCCAACTTGGCAACACCCTCAATGTTCTTACGGGGCATTGCAAGCCATAAGTGCGAGCAGATGTCAACACAGCGCAGGATGAGCCAACACTCGCTGAGCGTGGGTGAGCTAAAATTCACTGAGCTGGGCCCATCTGCTTGGGATGTCAGCAGGGTTGTCGGTAGCATGGATGTATCCAATAGATGACAGGGTGCCTGTGCACCGTTGAGCTTACGCACACTTCTTGACAGTCTGGATGAAGAAAAACCGACTTGACTTCTGCAGCCTCCACTGCAACCTGTTTATGACTGCTTGTAACTCTAAACAGTTTATGTGGGCCTGATGCCTCCACTTATAGCCACTGACAATGCGCCAGCAAAAGTAGCCGGCGTTACGGCCAGTGCGGGGGCAAGCCTTGAGTGAGGGATGAGCCTCACCCGCCCAGTGTTTGCAAGCCATGGGATGAGTGCGGAATCCTCACGAGACGCGTGGGAAGCACTGGATCACTACATGGCCATCGAGTGCCTAAACAATTCCCTAGGTCAAGAGAAAGCGCCCTTGATGGCGATGGGTTCTTCGTGTTGGCGGAGTATCTGGGTTGCAGCGACGAGTGCTGGCATTGGGTGCAGAACGAGTTGGGAGATGGAGTTCATCATCAGATTTGTCGTAGTGCCCGGGTGGCAGCTTGCATGAAGAAGGCGATGGGCGGGAGATGCACTCCGGTACTAAAGGATTTCAAGTCGAAGCGCCGCATTCCAAAGGGCCTGTTGATGAAGAGGCCATCCGGGCTCTACCCTTGGAAGAGTTCCTCCAGGCCTCCTGGTGGCATGGAGGTTTTCAGGGTTATGAGTGAAGAAATGGTGGGCTGCTACCAACTCACCTTGGTGGCCCTGTGCAACTTCTGGCAGTGGGCTCCAGGCAGAACAGCTTGGTGAACTTGATACTCACTGCAGCGTATGGCTTGAACGTATCTTTTATGAAGGTCTTCCTAGAAGCTTGGCCAGTGACGGGTTGGCTAGGGTCCAATACCACCCTCCTGAAACTTGTGGTCACCTCCGCCAGTCCTGGAAGATGGTCAAGGTGTGCAGCGCCTAGAGCCACCAGTTCGGGTCATCAAAATTAGCCTGGCTGTGTTGGCAGCCCTGATCGATGTGGCCGCTCTGTTGTTCACTGCCTGCTCAGACCGGGCGAGTTATATCTCCTGCATCAGGTGGCCTTGTTTTGGTTACGTCGCGCCTGCAAGGGACTGAGTGCCGGGGCCACAATCCTTCGTTGTCGGCCAGCCGAATTCGGACGCTGGTCGTCAACCTCTACGTTGGATATACCTCCAGGACACTGTGGGGTCTGTTGGAGGCCCTATATGGCCTTTAAATGGCCGGCTCTGGCTTCTTGCAGCTGCAGTCGTTCCTATGGGTTGGATCAACGCTGTTAGCTGGCTTCATAGACAACTAGGGTTACTTGAGCCGTCGGTGGGGGCCGGCATGGCGTAGGAATAGGCCTACTCCGGCGTCAACAACAGACTCGTCCGTTCAGTGGGTTCTACCTGGGTCGATAGTGGCATCAGGCTCGCTTCTCCCGACTTTCACGAGGAGTCTTCCATGCAAGACACCACCCAAGCACATGCACGCCAGCGCTGAGAAGCACACAGCTATCGTTTTCAGGTATATCAGTATGAGGAGGAGTTTATGAGGTCACAAGTCACAAGTGAACAACGCCCTCAACTTCCCAGTCGGCACCTGGGTTGCCAAACGATTGGGAACACCTTCTACGTCGATCCTATCTTATGTTAAGTTATGAGTTGCTTTGCCGGCTGTACCCACTTCTTCCTAGGGATGTAAAACTATGGCATGCAGGGGCCTCCTGCGCCTCCAGGTTGCGCCTCGCGAAGAGACATCATCTGAAGTTACCCGAGAGTCTTCACAGCTGGTACTCCTTTTCGCATGAACCTGACCTAATCATGAGCACATGTAAAGAACAAGCGCAGCGGAGTGAAGCTAAACATGCGAAGGACAGAAAAGTAGAGTACTGCAAACATGTTTAGAGGATGTCTGACAGAAATCACCGGCTTGGCAAGGCTTCGGTGGAAAGTGCAGTTGTGTGGCTCAGTGCCATTGGGTAACGGGACACATGCGTGCATCAATGCGCCCTGTTGCTTGAAAGTATGATGGGCCCCGTCAGTCACGCTTGGCGTCGGGACGCTTGTGCAACTGCAGGTTGCACCGGGTCTCTATAACCATATTTATACCTACTGTATACTTATATATATATATGTACCCCGGGGCACTAGTTGTAATTGCATGTATCAAAGTCCCGTCAAACACGTCACATCTATTCCGGCAAACCGGAAACTGCCCTGAAAATACGAAGCCCTATATTTTTCAGAGAAGGTGCCTGTCGACTCGTCGAAGATGCAGGGGCAGGGGCAATGGGGGGAGCGAAATAGGGGTTGCCATCAATCATCGATCCTGTCATTTCAGCCAACTATGCCGCCGTGGCTTGTGGAAGGTTTGGGGGGCTTCCGCCCAGCGGCAGGCGGCAGAGGCAAACAGGTGAGGGTGGTGGTGGTGGTGGTGGTGGTGGTGGTGGTGGTGGTGGTGGTGGTGGTGAGAAAGAGAACCAGAAACGGAAAACGCTAGCCACTACTCGTGCAAGGCAACTTGGGCAGCATAACTCGCACCGTGTGGCCATCTTAAGGCATCTTGAAGGAAGGGGTTGCCCATACGAGCATTGAGACAAGAAAGAGAAAAACTGCAACTTTTGCAACATCAGGCGTTGCGCAAAAACGAAAAAGTAAAACACCAAAAACACATTTGTCTGTGTTTGTTTTGTTTTTGCGGGTGCGTTCGTATGCAAGAGCAGAAAGCATTGGTGTTTGCAAGGTTTTCTAGCCCCTCCGGTTTCGTCCCAGAGGGCCTCCAAGCCTCCTCCCTAGTGTGCCCTGCGGGTTTACAGGCGCATCCTCTAGGCGTGGTCTACGCTAGGTCAGCAGCTAGGGGCGGCGACCGTCCTTGCCGTGCAGGCAACCGCCTTCGCCAGGGCCAGCCCCCTGCTGCCCGATTCTTGTCCGTTTGCTGCACAGCCCCAATCATTGCCATCAATATTGTCATTCAATTCCACCGGAGGCAAGATGGTGATTAGCCTGGAGATTGCCAACAATGTAGAAACATGTTAGAAACTTCGCTGCACTCATGTGGTATGTCTGCATGCCTGCAGCACATTAGTCGACTAAAACAGTCCACCTTCGATACCTGGAAAATGTCGTTGTGGCACTGCTATGACACAGAATTCGCAGTTTGGGTTGTGACAGGGGGACATGTATGTTCAACTGAGACAAATGCCACGAGCGTCAAAAGTGCAAACAAAACAGAAGGGGACGACCATTCTATCATTCTGCCGTTGGCCGTTCCAAAACGGACACAGCTGTGAATGACCAAAGCACCCGCCTGTTGAGCAAACTCTTCAACCTGGCCATGTGGTTCCATCTGCTTTGGAGGTGATGCCTGGTTCGCTGTTTCTGCAGAATGAATGGAAAGTCAAGTCTATTAGCATTCGGGGCGGGCAAAGGAGAAGGTACTGCCCGTTTTAAGCGGACCACTATTGACCACTCAGTCACTCACACCGCTTTTCCTCTCTCCTTTAGTTCCGCTTTTAGCATGCTAGAGCTAGATAGTACAAGAGACTTTCGACATTCTTGGCCTCGACTACCCCTAGAAAGATTCGAAGGTTTCTTTCTACTCGTCTATCCAGAATGTGTCTTTCTCTTCTTTAGACCCTTTCAAGGATGCTCCTAGTGCCTCCACGGCGAGCACTGCTCGGGGCCTTGGTGACACCAGCTGTCACAAACAAGGCTCAACCGGTCAAGGTTGCAGACCCAATGAACAGGATCAATGAAAAACAGCTGTTCTCAGCATACTTTTTGCATGCAAAACTGCCTGCAAAAATGCTTGGGTTGGTGAAACGTCAAATACTTCGGGGGAGGGAGGTTCCAGCGCTCCTGGGCTCGAGCAGCCAGGCCTGGAGGCAATGTCCAGAAACGGACAGCAAAATGACCCTGGCCTTGTATATCTTAGATGCTCTGGTCACATACGACTCTGTGACCACAAAGAAGACCGCTTAACTCTGATCAACTTGCTAAGACACATCTACCAGTTAAGTTTATCTTGCAATTTTCTTGCATTCCTCGACCTTCTACAGCATTTCGGGGCAAGTGACTATACCTTGCCGCACTTCCTCTTGTCTACAGGGATGAGTCCGAGACACCAGTTGCGAACGGTGTTACTACAGTGCATTATTGGCAAGTCCCACACGTTTATCACACGTTTCATCACTGCAATAAGAAACAACAATCAACTCAATGTTTTCAAGAGCTGACGAAAAGCATGTGAGCCTTGAGCTGTTCACAAGGCTACAGGCGCTGCAACTGTCCAGAGTGTGACTTCCGTGCGGGTAGCAATGGTAGCCCAATGCAACCTGAGCTCGACAGCGCTGCAAGCACAAACAAGGGTGACCCAGGGGGTGTATAAGGGGCAAGGGCAAAAGTGGATGTGATTCCTTGTGATTGTCTTGCATAGGCCAAGCCAACAGGTCTTCTGCAAATGAGCCAAAATGATGCAAAATGAGGCAAAAGGAGCACCACACTGCTTTGATGCGAGTGCGCCTATATATACATGTCATGACCTCTGACTGGAGCGTGTCATACATCATATCAAGGTTCTTGGAAATGCGGCTCTGCCGCAATTTCATTTCAATTGAGAAGGGGGAAGGTCGGATTACTAAACAAAAACAGCTTCAGGACAGGTCCTCCCTGAGAGACCCTGAACAACCAAGCTTCTCAATCAATGCTAGTGTCAAGCAAGTTGCTTGCGCCCGGCGCCTTGTCCTGAAACGAACTGTTCAGTCAAATACAGCACCCCACAACCTACCACACCTTATCTCAAGGTGAATGTGATACCTTTTCTCTCTCTCTCTCACAAGTATTCTGGAATCAGAACATTGAGTATGGATGAGATCTTCTTCCATGCCTTTGCACCAAGCACCACTCGTACAAAATTAAATGCATACAACAAATTGATAACATGCTGCTCTGTTCACGAATGGCTGAAAATCCTCGTTTTTCGTAGAAGAGTTCCAGCTCGCCAAAGCATTGGCCACAACGGTCGTATGTGCAAACTTTCTCACTGGTCGTGGCACCAGTTGGGCAGTGCAGCACATCTATGACGCCATCCTTAGCTGAAAATTCCGTGCCGCTTCCTTACCTGGGACATATGCATGACTCAATACGCATCCAAAAGCAGAGTCTGAATGTCAAGCTTCCAAAAGCACGCAAAGGCTTGGCCCCTGGGAGACCGGCGTGGCCTGGCATGTCTCTCAACCCGAAACCCTCGGTCACTGGGTCTCTGGTCTCTGGAGGTGTTTTTCAACCAACTGTTACTACTAGCGTGGCACCTGTTACTACTAGTAAGGCACTTGTT